GCACAACACACACTAACACACCACCACCACGTCAGTGTTACTGCAGTGCTGAGAATGATCCACCACCCAAATAGTACCTGCTCTGTGAGGGTCCATGGGGGTCCTGACCACTGAAGAACATGGTAAAAGGGGGCTAACAAAGTATGCAGAGAAACAGATGGACTACAGTCTGTAACTGTAGAACTACAAAGTGCACCTATATAGTAAGTGGAGCTGATAAAATGGACAATGAGCGTAGAAACAAGGAGGTGGCCAGAATGTTATGCCTGATTGGTGTATGTACTCATACCTTTCTTCACTGGGACTGGTTTAGCCTTCTCCTTAGCAGCCTCTGAAACATTAAAGATGAAGGATGTTATTTTTTACTTTCTGCAATACATTTTAAACATTACAACAAAAACAACATCGGCAGATTTTCAAGAATTAAAAAACACCTGTAAGAAATCAAACATACCTTTCTTCGGTGCAGGTTCAGGTTCAGCCTTTTCTTTAACAACTGAAGGTTCTGTAAAGCATTGAGTTAGTTACTCAGTCTCTTTGGCACTTTTTGTAAGACATTTTTTACTGTTATTGGCATGGACTTGCAGTCACTATTATGTGATTTCATTTAATTATCCGATCTTTAAAAAAAAATGAATGAAGAATGAAGCTTAGCAGTTAGTTTATGATTTGAATGATAATCAGGGTATCCACTTGTCATTGTGAGGCTATGTTTAGTAGACTGAAAATTGTCTACAAGGTGGAGCTATTACGCTTAAATCACTTTAATATGAATCACTGAAAGAGAGGAAACCCACACCAGCAGGATCTTACAATGCATCTATAGAGGTGGTACTCAGGCTACTAGCAGTGTCAAAGCAGCATGTAATTAAAAATGACTTAAAAGGCAACTAAATGTGTTAAATTGAATTTTTCCATATCTGGAAATACACTAATGATCCATATTTTAAATTTAAATCCTACAGTTCTTTCTAACAGTAAGAAACAAAACCCAAAAAATGTAAAATTCTCATTAAGAGTGTTTTTTCATATATAAACTATTTTCAAAGGCCTTTTTCAGCAAAGTACTCTGAGTATTTGAAATGCTCTGTGTATTGTCTATTGTTCAGTTAAGCCCATTTTTTTTTTTTGTTTGAAAAAAAATGAAAAAAATGAATGGTGATGCGTGTTGGCATATTCAAACAGTTCCTGCATTGTGAATTTCATATTAATCAGCTGTTTGATTATATTGTTTGCATGTTATATTTCCAAGCAGCCCTGTGTAAGTCACTGTACATTCATGTGGAGATGACTAAATAAATGCACATTGAAAAATGTCATTAAAATGGTTTTCATAATGTAAGCAATTCACAAAGGTCATAATTTGGTATGATACAGTGGAGTCTTGTTTGCATACTTTTTTTGATACAGCAGAAAAGAGAAATGCCTGGAAATCTGTCTTATGTTAAAATGTTAATGTTTCCATTTTTAGTTTATTAGAGTTATTCAACATATAAAGTCCTGTATATTATAAGGATTATGTGAGGAAGACATTCATATAATTTCTCTAAAAAAACAATACAGCTATCTATTTCTAAATTGCTGACACACAATCTTGACTCCCTCATTAGATAATCATTCACTGTGAGAAAACATATGTAGGAAAATATGACCTACCTAGTTAGCCTAGTCTTTTATAATGGACTAAGATGTAGTCATTGAAATGGGACTGTGTTAACTGTCCTATTAGAGTGTATTACTTCAGTATTTGATATTGGCTGCTAATAATCTGCTAATGTTAAACCAGAGCAGCTTAGACCAGTATGCTGTGCACCTTTGGCACCAGTTTTTCATATTTGCTGTTGCCATTACAAGTCAAAATACAACATGTTCTATTTTATATTGCAAAAAATTTAAGGTGCTAGGCTGGATAGGTAGACTTTTGTTAGCTGAAGAAAATAAAATTAAATTTACAAAATGAATAATTCTGGTCAGAATATCTGATTGATGATGCAGAGTTTAAAGACGCTACAAAATACTCAACATACGCACACTTGACTTACAAGCTGCTCACAACAACCGAGTTCTGTTTTAAAGTGCCAAGTCACTAAGTATCACTGTGCTGTGAATGGACTTTTACGCTGCTCACATGGACCACCAAGTGTACCGACAGATGAAGTAAGAACCCATTTTGTTTAAACTGAGGGGCTGATAACTTTTTTCTTAAGAACTGGGTTAAAAGATATTAGGCTAAACCACGTCTTCATTAATATTCAATGATTAACTGCAAAACTGAAATATAAGAAAAAGAATACGCTGCTTTAATGTTTTACACACTTCAAATGTCAGTGTTTTGGTTAAATCTGTCTTAAGCAGAATTAAACTTGCGTGAAAACCAATGTGTGGAACCATTAGCTTGATGCTAACACAACACAGGAAATTGCTTAGAGGTGCTTTGGTGGAAATCAGCATTATTAAGAAATTTTAGGTAATTGATGTTTGAATATATTTTAAAACAAAATACACTTCAGAACAATGTACATACGGTAAACAGTATGAATAGTGAATTCTTTCATATGGACTCTTACCTTTCATCACCAGCACAGGTTTAGGCTTCTCCTTGGCAACTTCAGCCTCTGAAACATTAGGCCATATTTATTTTAACCAGGCAGAATGTTTAAAGACCGCTGTTAACCTCAAGGTGTGTCCATGTAGTAACATTAATATTCAAATAATTTTCAAAAATGTGAATTAATGTCGAAGTGTCAAAATTCAAAGCAATGAAATTCTCTGATTCTTAAAAAAAGAAACAGAAAGAAAAAATCAATAGGCATACAAATACCTTTCACTGTAACAGGTTTTTTCTTCTCTTTTAGAACTTTGGGTTCTATAAAACAGAGACAATATATTGTCTATGAATATCGAACAATATTTATGAATAGAACAATATTCGACCAAATGTATTTGGATGCCCTGTTTAATTAGAAGTGGTGTAAAGCACACCATTGGCCACTGAAGCAGTGGAAATGCATTCTCTGGCATGGTGAATCACCATCTGGCAGTCTGCTTGGGTGCCAGAAGAATGGTACCTGCCCAAATGCATAGTGGCAACTGACCTCAAACCCTTCCAACAGCTTATTTTCTGATGAACTGCAACACCAACTGTGAGTCAGGCCCAACATCAGTGCCACCTCATTGATGTTTGGGATGTAATGTTTGGGTGTCCACATACATTTGGTCATATAGTTGATTTTCATTTCATAACCACTTATACCTTTTTCTGGGACTGTTTTAGCTTCAACCTCTAAAATATGAAAAAAGATTTTTCTCAGAAAAAAATATTATCTATAATGTTTTAAATATGAAGGAAAGTGGTTTTCACTTAGATTGACCACAACCATGAAAACACTTTAGAAAATGACCTTTCTTTGGAGCAGGTTCAGGTATTGCCTTTTCCTTTGGAGCAGGTTTAGGTTCTGTAAACATTTGGAAGTTCTAAATTAAAGTCATTTACGTAAATTTAGTTAACCTAGTTGTTGACTTAGTTGTCAACAAAAATTAAAAACATCCTATGAATACAAAATTACCTTTTTTGGGAGCAGGCTCAAGCTTTGTCTTTTCCTTTGGAGCTGGTTCAGGTTTCACCTTTTCCTTTGGAGCAGCTTCAGGTTTTGCCTTTTCCTTTGGAGCAGGTTCAGGTTTCACCTTTTCCTTTGGAGCAGGTTCAGGTTTCACCTTTTCCTTTGGAGCAGGTTCAGGTTTCACCTTTTCCTTTGGAGCAGGTTCAGGTTTAGCCTTTTCTTTTGGAGCAGGTTCAGGTTTTACTTTTTCCTTTGGAGCAGGTTCAGGTTTTGCCTTTTCCTTTGGAGCAGCTTCAGGTTTGACTTTTTCCTTTGGAGCAGGTTCAGGTTTTACTTTTTCCTTTGGAGCAGGTTCAGGTTTTACCTTTTCCTTTGGAGCAGGTTCAGGTTTTACTTTTTCCTTTGGAGCAGGTTCAGGTTTTACTTTTTCCTTTGGAGCAGGTTCAGGTTTTACCTTTTCCTTTGGAACAGCTTCAGGTTTGACTTTTTCCTTTGGAGCAGGTTCAGGTTTTGACTTTTTCCTTTGGAGCAGGTTCAGGTTTTACCTTTTCCTTTGGAACAGGTTCGGGTTTTACCTTTTCCTTTGGAGCAGGTTCAGGTTTCATAGTTTTCTTTGAAACAGGCTCAGGCTTTGCCTTTTCTTTTGGAGCAGGTTCAGGTTTTGCCTTTTCCTTTGGAGCAGGTTCAGGTTTTACTTTTTCCTTTGGAGCAGGTTCAGGTTTGACTTTTTCCTTTGGAGCATGTTCAGGCTTCACTTTTTCCTTTGGAGCAGGTTCAGGTTTTGCCTTTTCCTTTGGAGCAGGTTTAGGTTTTGCCTTTTCCTTCGGAGCAGGTTCAGGTTTTGCCTTTTCCTTTGGAGCAGGTTCAGGTTCTATAAAACATTGAGAGAGTTCTACTTTGACCGAGTTCGGTTTAAGGCTTGATCTTCAGTAAACATCAGTGTTGTCAACACTTCACCTTTAAACACAAAAGTATCTTTGTTTAGAGCAGGTTCAGGTCCTGCCTAAGAAAGAAAGTTGCACTTTATGGCCATGGTCGTTAATTTGATGAATTAATTTAATTATTCAGTCAACAGCAGAGAAAAAAGATGATAAACCAAAAATACCTTTCTTTGGAGCAAGTTCAGGTTTTGCCTTTTCTTTTGGAACAGGTTCAGGTTTCGCCTTTTCCTTTGGAGCAGCTTCAGGTTTTGCCTTTTCCGTTGGAACAGGTTCAGGTTTGACTTTTTCTTTTGGAACAGGTTCAGGTTTCACCTTTTCCTTTGGAGCAGGTTCAGGTTTCACTTTTTCTTTTGGAACAGCTTCAGGTTTTGCCTTTTCCTTTGGAGCAGGTTCAGGTTTTGCTTTTTCTTTTGGAACATGTTCAGGTTTTACCTTTTCCTTTGGAACAGCTTCAGGTTTAACCTTTTCCTTTGGAACAGGTTCAGGTTTTGCCTTTTCCTTTGGAGCAGGTTCAGGTTTCACCTTTTCCTTTGGAGCAGGTTCAGGTTTTGACCTTTTCCTTTGGAGCAGGTTCAGGTTTCGCCTTTTCCTTTGGTACAGTTTCAGGTTTTGCCTTTTCTTTTGGAGCAGGTTCAGGTTTCGCCTTTTCCTTTGGAGCAGCTTCAGGTTTGACTTTTTCCTTTGGAGCAGATTCAGGTTTTACTTTTTCCTTTGGAGCAGGTTCAGGTTTTACTTTTTCCTTTGGAGCAGATTCAGGTTTTACTTTTTCCTTTGGAGCAGGTTCAGGTTCTGTAAAACATTAGAGGTTTTATGTTAAGGGTTCTTATAAGACATAAGTGTTCATCTTGCTGTCCACTGTGAAATATACTTTTTTCAAGCTGATACTATAGTTGATACTAAGGTTGATGATTTTAAGAAGATGGTAGCATTTTGGTATCACCTATGGTTCCCCAAAACTACAGTTAGATGCCCCCACCACACCAAAAAACCTTTGTCAGAAGAGGGGTTTTGATCATTTACAGTCGTTTCCACAAAATACAGTAAATGAGAGACACAGTGAAGAGAACGAGGGGTGCATCAATGAGAGTTTTACATTTTCTGATTCATTCACTCATTTCTTCGATAACTGTGTTGAAATTGCAACACCAATAATTTTATTTATGTATGTGTAGAATCACAATAAATTACCTTCCTTTTCAGTGCACATTTTCAATATATACTCTACACCTTACAGTTTTTAATAATTAAACTTCATAAAATAGCTTCACCTTTCTTCACACTGACTGCTTCAGCTTTCTCCTTGGTGACCTTTATGTCTGCAGTGGACAGAAATCAGGAAAGAGTTTCAGTTTGTGTTGCGTTTCAGTAGAAATCATATTTGCATGGATGAACATCATATAAAGACGACTTTCTAATATGTGGTTTGATCAGTACCTTTGTGTGATGCTGTTGGCTTTTCTTTTACAAGCTCATGTTCTGCAATGACATGAAAGGAGTGATTTATATGACATTACATAAAGACCTTCAGTCACACTTTACAGATTATGACAGGCTGTTTTCCGACAGCTGATTCTACAACATAACAAAATACCTTTAACTGTAGCATTAATCCTGTCCTCATTGATTACTGGCTCTGTATACAGGAAGAAAACACATACATTTGATGCAGATCAAACAAATTAATCCACTGCACCAATTTTTAAATTCTCAGTTACTGTCCAACTGCATTTTAGAGAGATATTACTATATATCTGTGCTGGCCTTTCTCACATTTACCACTGTATATACAGCACGTTACCACTCAAAAGGTTGGAATCATTGTTTCAATGATATTAAAACAATTTTGTTGAGGTTCCTTGTACAAAATGTTTGTACCATGATGGTGGCACTCTACAGATGTACAGGCTTAAATTCATTTGTAGGAAGCTGTAAATAAAAATGAATAAATGTATCCAGAATGAACAACAGAAGTGTAGAAGATTCTGAAAGGACTTTTAAAGTGACACATCTGAAGAGCTGAGCATCAAGAATTACGTTGTAATAAAATAACAGCAATTATTAATTTGCTGTTAATTATTAATGATTAAACTTGCAATCTTTTGACAGATAGATAGATAGATAGATAGATAGACAGACAGACAGACAGACAGACAGACAAACAGACAGACAGAGAGACAGATAGATAGATAGATAGATAGATAGATAGATAGATAGATAGATAGATAGATAGATAGATAGACAGATAGACAGACAGACAAACAAACAGACAGAGAGACAGACAGATAGATAGATAGATAGACAGACAGACAGCTAGATAGACAGATAGATAGACAGACAGACAGACAGACAGACAGACAGATTCACAGACAGATAGACAGACAAACAGACAGACAGACAGACAGATAGATAGATAGATAGATAGATAGATAGATAGATAGATAGACAGACAGACAGATAGACAGACAGACAAACAGACAGACAGACAGAGAGACAGATAGATAGATAGATAGACAGACAGACAGACAGACAGACAGATAGATAGATAGATAGATAGATAGATAGATAGACAGACAGATAGACAGACAAACAAACAGACAGAGAGACAGGCAGATAGATAGATAGATAGACAGACAGACAGACAGAGAGACAGACAGATAGATTCACAGACAGATAGACAGACAGACAAATAGACAGACAGACAGATAAATATATAGATAGATAGATAGATAGATAGTTGAATAGATAGTTGAATAGATAGACAGACAGATAGACAGACAGATAGATAGATGCCTTTAAACATCTGGAGATAAATAGATTTTTTTTTTTTTGAATGCGTCATTTGAAACAAAATGCTGTGCACGCAAAAGTTTGAACACCCCAATGCAATGACCTGTTTTGTTGACTTTCTAAGTGAAAATAACATCCTACACAGAGAGCACACTTTTAAATTTTTACATTTTAATGCGTGATTTCAATTTATTTATTAAGTTTAATAAACTGGAAAAAAATTCAACTTAAAATGTACCAAAACTTTGCAGTTCAGGCCACATGTGCATTCAAATGTGCAGAAGTGTGTTAAATCATTTACACTTAGAAAACTGTGCTTCTGTTGTCTATCAGTACTGACAGAGTCAAAATCACTGTGTGATGACGATGTCAGAATATCAGTATAGATGATATATCAGCTATAATGAATACTGACCAAAGCAGGACTGACTTAAACCTGCAACCGCTCAGTCCTGCAGTCAGTGGTGGAAGAAGTACACAAATCATGTACTTGAGTTAAAGTAGAGATACCCAAGGTAAAATATTACTCCAGTAAAAGTAGAAGTTCCTCCCTTTAGACCTCCACTTGAGTAAAAGTACAAAAGTATTTGTCTTCAAATGTACTTAAGTATCGAAAGTAAAAGTACTAAAAGATTAATTAACTTAATGCAACTTAGTTACAAGTTTAAGTTTAATAAAAACATGCTTTAAACTCAGATTCACAAATGAGTTTCCTTTACTAAACTGCATCTGTAGGTCTCTGTTCATAAACATAAACTAGCCAAAACTAATTTACTATAAAATGAAAGTGTTTGTATAAATTCAGAATAAAGACACATAAGTCACAACTGCATATGTGTACATATTTCTATATTGTGGTCTATTTACACAAAGTTAGGTTAGTTCATCATTTATGTTGAATTGACACTCCCAAAATTTTACGCTGCTGCACTGATGCTGAACCGTGTGCTGCACTGGGTCGGCATGACCAACAGGTCAATACAAGCTCAAAACAAAGTGTGCACTGTGCCCTGATTGGTGTTTTTACTTTGCGCTTCTTTCGTTTTGACAGGTTACGTTTTTATACACACATAAACCAAAAGGAGCGACAAATTTCTCAGAATGTAGTGGAGTAAAAAGTGAGATATTTAACTCTGAAATGTAGTGGAGTGAAAGTAAAAAGTCACCCAAAATGGAAAAACTTCAGTAAAGTACAGATACACGAAAAAATGACTTAAGTACAGAAACGAATTACATTTACTTCATTACTGTCCACCACTGCCTGCAGTCACAAAGCTCAGTCACATGTGCTGGTGATGAGTGAACTGCAGGATTCTTTATTACACTGCGATCATGTTGTTTGATTGGCATTTCTATTTTTGTGTGAATGGAAATGTAGCACGTCTGTTAATAATTCAGTGATGGAGTTCTTACCTTTAGGTTTGAGAAACACACTAATGTCCTCTTCAGGCTTTTCTTTTAGTTTAGCCTTTTCCTTCATCACCTCTTCTTTTTCTTTCTCTTTTTTCTTGTCTCTCTCTACTTTTTCCTTCTCTTCTTTCTTTGCCTTCTCAGCTCTCAGCTCTGGAAGGACAGACAAGGTTGGGTCACAGTGCTTTGGTCATTGTGAATTTCAGTATCTTTGCGTTTGATGTATGCAGGTTATCCGCAGAGCACATGAATGGGAGTAAAATAAGGGAATTACCTTGGAGGACTTTGAACACCTCCTCCCTGGCTTTCTTCTCTTTAGCAATTCTTTCTTGCTCTAGAACTGAAATTCATGAGTGAGAGTTACATGATTTATCTCGACACTCACATGATGAACTGAAGTATGTACAAAGTGGTATATACACAGTAATAAGCCTTAGCATGATGTATTACAGTGTAACTACACTGTCAATGCTTTTATAATAAGAACTTAAAGGCGGGCAAAATGACTACATGGGTCGTTCTCCATTTGGAGTGGGAATTCAGGTGGATACATTATTAAAAAATCAGTTTCTTTCATCCCAAAAATAAATAATCTTAATATGTCCTTTAACATCTCCTATTATCATATATGCAGAAAGGAGAGCTTAATTCCAAACATATTGTACAGTCACTGGTGTTGTATGAATATGGTGTAACACCAGTGACTCCAGTGACATTCTGGTTAATAATTGATAATTTAATAAGTTAATAATTAAATTCTGGATTTTATAAATTGACGGATTCATTGGCCGTCAGGTGACCTTGTGCAACTATTTAAAATCAGTAATAAAAATGATAATGAAATGATATCATTATGTTATCCTATTGCCTGCCTCTACTTCAGAGCACTGCTTTGGTTGTACAGCCATTATAACATTACACATTACATACTGTCACTAAGATATCAACCCCTGTGTAATTAGAAAACACTGAAAGAGAATTACAGAAATGTGTTGAGACTGAATGAACATTAAACCTCAGATTTCTGGACATAAGTAGCACTAGGCCTAAACAGAAGGAAAGTTTCATCTAAAATCCCCATGAACAATATAACTTAGCTCAAGACTAAGCTTGAATTCCTGAAGCCATTAAATGTGGATTTTTCCATGTTTAAATAAGTAATTTAGTCCTTTGTATCTACCAGCTTAACAGGACCTTTGAAGGTTCCTGGTATATGTAGCGTAGTGGATAACACTGCTCTCCATGGAAAAGCGGGGGTTTACAAGGAAAATGCTAATCTCTGCGGAGCTGTAGCCCAGAAGGAACCGAGTTTGACACACTTGTTCCTTTGTTCAGTATGTATAAAATACATGCATTTCTTTTAAACAGATCATGATACATTTTCTTTCTTCTTTTCGCAATGCATTCCATCAATATGTGTGCTCATGGTGCACGAAAACAAGAAACAAGATCACTTTCTTGAAATGTGAAAGTGCCTCATCCTTTTGTTTTTAATTTCTGTGCTGCTGAATTCTTTTGATTTTTAACAGTACATTGCTAAAACAGAGTTGAAGTCTGGGGAAGAAACATCCATTTCATGTGGGTAATTGTGATGGACTTCGAATTAGATTTGTAGGTAAAAATAAAATAATCCTCCTTTACAGTAAAATCAAGCTCTGCTGATCGTTCTAACTCATTTAAATGGTCTTAAATGCTGGAATTAATGTATAACTGCTAATTCACCCTTTAACCCTGAAGATTGGCACACAGACCATAGCAACATAGCAACGCAGACAACAATCTCGCCTAGCTAGTAGCTAACGAAAAGGCAAAGAGAGAGATTTAAGACGAACGGACTTATTTTAAGTCCTGATACGTTTAATCTGCAACAAGAAACTGTCAAACATTAAAGAGTTGCGAGGCTGAAGTCAGCTCCTAGTTCTAATTTTCCCATTCCACCTTAAATGGTGCAGGAGTTACATTCAGGCACTTCAGGCACCATTTAAGGTGGAATGGGAAAATTAGAACAAGAAGCTGGCGAATGAGAAGTGACTTCAGCCTCGTAAAACTCAAACATTGAGAGACATTTTACAAGCAACTGTTCCACTTTTAAGGAAAGGTTTCCTGTCAGAGATGTGAGAAAAGCAGCTATAGCTGAGCTAAAGCTTAAAGCAGAGCAAAGTGAGTCTGTGTTTTTGTTTATATTGCATATTTTAGCCTACACTAGGACATTAGCACATATTAAGACACATTTACAGCCAAGATCGTAAAACATTACTTCAATAAAGTTGGCTTTATTGGCTCCCAAGGTGGCTTGACTTTTGTTGAAAGGACACCGTGGCTCTTCTTAACATTTGGGTTGCAACCCCTGCATTATACAATCAATTGAAAGAATACTTATTCATAGAATCACTTTTCCAAACCATCCCCAATGAAAATAATACCTTTTGCGCTTTCTTCAGGAGGAGATTCTTCTTGGTCATCTGTTCCCTTGGGAAGATTGGCGTCTTCAGTTTTGGCTATTGCTTTTCGTCTTACATCTCTTTTGATTGTGCGCCTTTTGCTCTCATTGTTGTTATTATTTTCATCACAGCTACCCATAATGTCCAAGTCATCATCGTCTCCCAAAGGAAACACAACATGCTCCTCCTCGTCAGCATCTGCTTCTGTTTCTCCTGCATCTCCATCGCTGTCTTGCTTGAGTCCCTCATTTGCCTCTGACTTTTCCTTTGCTTCCTCAGCCTCTTCATCATTTGCTTGTTTGTCTTCTACCTCATCCTCCACAGCATGTTCAACTTCTGTGCCATTTCTGATCTCAGCTCCATCATAACCAATAGTTTCCTGTTCAAGAATTGCTTCTGGGAAAGCTCTCGTTTCAGTTTGGTCTTCATCAGTGCTCCATGTACTGGTTTCCCTTGACTTCATTGGTTCCTCCACATCAACAACAACAACAGCAGAAACATCTACAGCTTCAACCACGAGGTCAATCGGCTCCTCCTTAACAGCGGCTTCTGAGCAAACATCACCCATGTTTGGGTCTTCAACAATGTTCTCCCTGGCAGCATCAGATTCTGGTTCTTCTTCAAGAACATCAGACACACCAACAGAACCAACTGTATCATCATCCAACGTCACATCAAGTGGTTCCACTTCCATTTCTCCCATGGTTCCAGAAATATCCTCAACAGTGTCAGCTGTGGCCTCATCTGATGTAACATCTGGTGAGGCAGTTTCCTCATTTATGACTTTAGAAACATCTTCACATGTTCCAGTTGCTTCCTCCTCATCCATGACATCAACAGCATCTTCAGCAGTTTCCTTTGTATCTTCAGTGGCCGTCATATCCAAGGATTCTACCTGGTACAAATCTTTGACCTGAGCTTCTTCTGGTGCATCTGCTTCTCTTTGGTCCTCCACATCTGTAGCGTCTACATGCTTCACTTCTTGTTTGGCAATAGCTACCTTGATAAGTTCGGTTCTCGTCGCAATATCGTCATGCTTTCTGCTCAGAACCTCTGCAACTATTTCATGAAGCCATTTGTTGCGGTTATAGACTTCTCAATTTGAGAAGGTGTAAAATCATGTCTGAGCACATTTTGCAGATAGTTAAACAAAATACTGTGCAGGACATACAGTTGTTTGCAAATGTTTGGGCACCCCTGGTTTTTCTAAGAGAAACTAAATGAACACATCCTCTACAGGGAACACACTTCTGGACACTGTAATGCACAATTACTGTTTATTTGTTTAATTTAACATATAAACTCAAAATATAAAATGTGGCCTGTGGAAAAGTTACGTCACACTTTAAATTTTATTTTATTTTTTTTTCAAATTTGTTAAATTAAGCAAATAATTCAAAATTGTGCACTAAATTTAGCAGAAAATGCTAAATTAAAGTTTACCTGTAGAGGATGTGTTAACTTATTTTCATTTAGAAAATCAAAGAAATATGTAATTTGAGCAGGGGTGTTCAAACTTATGCATATGACTGTAGCAGGGTTGATAACCATGGTAAAAGAAAATGCTGTAATTTTACAGTAATGTACAATACAACTTACAAGAACACACCTTTTTCTTAAATTAGTATGTTTTCATTCTTATCAGCTTAGAGTGTCATTTACAGTAAAATACATTTTATCTGCATTTTATCTGTAAAGAAGATTTTTTCTGCGTCAGAAACTCAGTAGATTGTAGTCGTAGGCAGTGCTATAGTTACAGAGTTCCTAGGCGCCAGGCCATGATACACAGTACTGTGCAAAAGTTAGAGACCACCCTTTAGTTAATTTAATTATCACGATCATTAAATACAAATTATTCATTTTTCAGAATCAGGAAAAAATAAAATATATATGTAATGTAATGTATTTATGTATCTAACAGTCTTTATTTTTATCCACTCTTTTGTCCACCTACTGCCACTTTAACTCTTCCACCCTTCCAACCTGAACTCAACCAGTTACAGTCCAACTAAAGCTCTCACTGACGTTCTGTTCCCCTTCAAAGAGACACTAACATTCACACAAACAGCTACCCAAACTCACCTCAGCTGCCTCACACATTTCTCTCTCATGAGCATCTAAAATGACTAAAGGAGATTATTGTGAGGAGATTAGATATAAAATAATCCACTTGCATAAAGAAGGAGAAACTCAAAGTGAACAACAGGAGTTTCCAACACTGGAGTTCAAAAAATGGGACTCCTAGCAAAACCTGGTAGACACCAAAACTGCCCCCATCAGATAAACAGCACTTAAAGCTTTCATCTCTGAGAGAGAGGAGAAAATCAAGCTGCTTCAGATCTGAAAACATCCACAGGTGTTTCTGTCCATCCTTCCACTGTGAGAAGACGACTCAGCGCTGTGGGTCTGAAAGGATGTGTAGCTGTCAAGAAGAACCTCACTGAGAAAAGGAGACGGACACATCAAACAAAGAAGCTGAACGATGGACTGACCACCCCAGAGTCCAGACCTCAACACCACTGAATGTGTTTGATTACTTCAGAAAATGATCAACCAGCTTCTAAGACTGAACTTTGGAGGTGTGTCTGCAGATTCTTTGAGAAACTGAAAGTGAGTCTCCTGAAAAGAATGGAAGCTGGAATAAAGGTAAAGAGTGGACAATTGATATTGTATTTAATTACTGAATCTTCTACATGTATGTTTTCTGCTTTTTCCCCAGTGCTGAACTTAATGGCCTCTTTGACTGGAAATTAATGCATAAATAAATGAAGGGTGATCTCTGACTTTTACACAGTATTGAAAGGGCAGCATCAGTTGTAGCTGTGTCCAGCTGGCAACCGCACTGACCTTTAACAAATTGGCTGTAAAAAAACAGAGTTACTGTAGATATACAGGAACATACTGTTTAATGCTTTAAAATCACAGTAGTTACTGTAACATGTCTTACAGTATAGTTTTTAATATTTACAGTACTTTACTGCCAACTAAGCTGTCAGGGACTTACTGTAAAATACAGCATTTTTTACAGTGTGACAATACAATAATGATCAATACATTACAAAGATGACCTCAGCAGTGTACACATGTTGCATCCCAACTACCCATAACTGCACCACAGTGGAAACCTTCGCTTAAAGTTCTTCCAGAGATCATGATCTGCATTTAGCAGTTTAAAGACAGTCAATAAAAGAAAAGATTGTATTCTAAATTTATGGATTAACAGTATGTTTAACATTAAATACATTAAATATTTGTATGTAACCTGCTGAAAGGCTTAGGGATGAATATTGCTGGGTTTGGGACCTTACAATATTCTTGCAACATATGACACACTTAGTTTTAATGGTTCATGCTGGATGTTTGTTATTAAAAATGGATCTGTCAGAGATGGTTAAACACTTTCAGTACATACACCACAACCACAACATCATGTAATTCTGTAAAACCTTTATGTACAGGAAGAGAAATCAGAGAAAGCAAGGCATTTCACATGGACGTGTTTATTTTTACACCAGGTAAATTGTTCATGCACCGTTTATTAAACCATTCCAGACAGATATTAGGTAAGATCAAATGTTTTCGTATAATTTTAAAGTCATACTGGACGTTTTTCACCAGACTTTTATATGAGAGGTACAGACAGGGGTTGAACGACAATGCAGATGTAGATTTTTATCAGTATTAGAAAGAGATGAGGGCACATTCAGAATGTAATTCAGGAAAGAAACATACACCATCTGTTACTGAATAAATATATCCACTTTTTTCATGCACCATTTGCAGCATTCTTTATTTGCATGTTTGTTTTCATTTGTTTTATTTGTTTTTCTTTTTTTGTGTTATTGATATTAGTTTGAGGTGGAGATTTGGGTGTTACTGACCTTTTTCCAAAGGTGGCAGAAATTCTCCTGTGGACAATAAATATAGACATTAATTATGAAAAACTTTTTTGGATTCAGGTTATAAAGTGCAAAATAAAAAATCATGGAATCATCTAAAATATCATTAGATGATCGTTGGATATCATTTCCATCATCATCATCTTTAAAGACTATTTTGCAGAAACTTATACTAACCTTTCCTTCGGATCACATGTGGTGCCTCTTCTAAGGAAAAGAACAGCAAGTCAGTTAAAGATAATGAAAAAACTGTAATCCACTGTAAAAATACAGGGCGGTTTTCCACTGTAAAATACCATAATCTTTAGCACCAGAAAACCATTACTGTGCTTTTTTTCATTGGCCATCAGTCCAATGCTGACAGCTTTTATGGTTCTAGGTACCTGCTCAAGAATGGTACTAATTGAGTTCTACATTTAGATGTAGTACGTTTGGCAGACACCCATCTACAGCAACTTACAATTTAATCATGTTACAGAGGTAGGTGAATGTAGCATTAGGAGTATAGCCCAAGGATTCTTTCCGGTATGGCGTGATGTGCTGCCCAGGTTAACTAGTGATGCATGACTCCAAGTTTGCAACAGAGCCAACAATATAGCAGAGATTAAAACATCCTAAATTTTTGATTACAGTGATATGATTACATTTTGTAGATTATACCAATATCAGGTAGATTGACAAATGATTACAACTTACTGAACACTGAACACAGCTTACTTATGTCTTAATACTCTTTTTACAGGGCTGAAGATGGTTTCATATTTGCCAGCTTCTTATTTGACTTTTCCATTTCACCTTAAATGATGCATTTACCTTAATGGCACTCAGGCAGCATTTAAGGTGGAATGGAAAATTTAAATACAAAACTGGCAAATATGAAGCAGATTTCAGCCTCATATTGTTTTTAGTTTCCATTATTTGTACCGTCTCTAATTTTACGTGTACTCAACAATCTGATCATAATCAGATTTCTGCAGTTATCTGATTATTCAAATGGTCATGTAAACAGCACACTCAGTAATCAGATATTTTCGGTGCACGTAAACTCTTACTCTGATTTCTATCGGATTTCTCAGTCTGCGCATGTGCAAAACAGATCGCGGTACCAGAATTAAGTGAGCAGCTTGGAGACTTTTGGAGTGAGACTGTGTGACTCATGTAGACCCAGAGTTTCCTAATTTTCTGATTACTCAAGTGCATGTAAACGTGTTGATCGGATTACTGACAAAATCTGATTTTCTGCAGTTATCAGACTATTAAGTGAATGTAAACACACATATTGTTTATTGCAACGTTAACCATGAAGAAAATGAAGAGCGGGGTGCAGAGCGGTGCAGGATTTTGAAAGCGCTGAAGAAGAGCAGAGTTTGTGCTTGCAGTGGGTGATCAGTAGTGGTAGCATTGTTTACAGCCTGGTAATTAAAGAAACTGATGCTACTGAAACCTCCATTATACTTGCTGCTGTGTTCAAAATGTCTATCAAGCTGATTACGATGAAAAAACAAAGTCGACAGAGTCGTCTCCAAACATTTCGACTCCGAGTCACTGGCCAAGAGCTGACCCAGAGTCCTAGATGTGTTGGAGTCAAAGAATTTCCATCACTGGATTGCACCTTGGCCTACCACATGGGAGGGCAGCAGTGCAGTGTTATCCACTATACTAACAGTGTTCTCTGTCTTGGGTAACACTTGTAGCTGAAGCTTACAACTTAGCAAATCCTTTACATGTGAAAATAAAGTCACTAACCACTACTACATGACCAGTTAAGAATGTGAACTTAGAATGTAAATTAAAGTGGTATGTTGATGTGTTGATTTTTAGAATTCCCTGGTTGCAAGAGAATAGTGGACCACTGCTGGCCCACTGATGGCAAAGTTACTGGTGTTTTGCACAGCATTTTCCGGGCGGCCAACTGGTGGTTACACAGAGTCATAGACGAAATTCCACTTATCATCACTCATTTTCCAGTCCAGTTCACTTATTTTTCCTTCCTTCCTTTCTTAAGTTATACTTTGTAAATTGGTTTAGTAAATCATTTTAATCTAGCTCAGCGTCAGCAACATTTTCTACAAAATCATTTTATTTCAGGCCTAGTTATTTTTTTTTTCTCTCATTTGTTTGTGATGTTTTTCTAAGTTTATTTTCCAAAATAAAAGTCTGTGTGCATTTAAAATCTGTTTGAGAAGATTAAAAACTAGTTAGAGCTTGTTTGCAGGACAGTAATCTGGGTGGTCTGAGGGGGGGACCAGCAGTGGCAAACAGTCAGTGGGGTGCCAACGTCATCAAGCCAGCGGACCGATATATGCTCACTATCAGGGTTATTACTTTTACTATTAGCATTTAGCATGCTAGCATTCATTAGCATTAGCGCTATAGCATGCTAGCAGTCACAGAACAAGTGTTTTATTCTGATTTTCACACGCAGAGAAAAATATAAGCTTGGCTTGATTCTGCACATAATCACCCTCAAGAGGAGACACATGAATCTGTGCTTGAGCAAAAACCATGTAGTATAATGTTTCTTATGATTCAGTAAGTTAAGTATCAAGCAGGGTGGCTAATGGGCCAAATTTGTCGCTTTAAAGTGGTTCTAAATGTTCCACTTGTCTCTCAAAAATGAACTAGACTGGTTCTTATTTCTAATTGCGCAGCGGAAAAACGCCCCTACAGTACATCTGTCATGATAATTAGCCAGTGACGTACCTTTATCTTCCATCAGGATGTTAGAGAGATACGCCAAGAACATGTCTCTCCTATCAGCAAACTCCTCAACAGTGTCTGTGACAACTTTCATGGGATCAAAGTTAATGTCGGGAATGCCACCTAGGAAACGGGAATTACAATGTTAATTGACTGCTATTTATCATTTTGAAATCTACAAACGTTTTTCATTGTCATTTCATACCTTCATCGCCAGCAAACAGGTTGGATACAGTTGTGAAGACGGTGTTTTTGAGGTTTCCTGCTCCTTCCAGAACATTGTTGGCTAAGTCCATGGGACTAGTGCTCATCGCAGGGATCCAAGCTGAGAAATATAAGTTTGATTAAGCACCAGCGTCTTTTACTACTGCAAGCTTAGAAATTACTAGTGATGGCACTGATCTGACAGCAGGTATCAGCAGAAAATGCTGGATGGGATATGGTGGGGAAATAATGAATGAATACGAGTCAATCCTGTAACAGATCTATTCTGAAACAGAGCTCACTCACACTGTATGATATGATGTTGTTAGCTGTGTAGCTCTTCCTGTGGGCTTAACAGAGTGACTGAGTAGTTTCAGCTTCATAGACCACTTTTAGATGTTCATCTTGAAGCTACACTGTGTAAGTTTTGGGGATTTGGAGCCCTCTCTGGTGGAAATGTGCAACTGCACACAACATGCCCTTCCCTAAGCGGATGAATCTGAATGTGAGCGCCATGAAAGAGAATTCAAAGAGAACTCAGTCTAAACTTGGTGAAAGAAGCGTCTTCTGAGGATGTGCGTGAATTATCTACTATTGTCATCACATCTTAATCAGTATCAGTGTTAATTTTGACATCATTTAAGACCTAAATAATGAACTGGGCCTTCTTTTTAACCCTGCGTGTGTGACATTAATACCCAAATACATTCAATGTGGTTTGAAAAACTCTCGCAGCAGCGCATGCTCACTACATTTTAGCCTTTTTTTATTTTCACACTGACTCAGTGATGATACTTCTTGCAATTTTACAAAAAATAACTTAATATTTTACAAAATGCCATACATTAATTAAAAATAGCCCATTTTGGTATTGTTTTAGAAATAAATATGGGTGGTTGATACTCCAGGTTTCAATATCAGTTTTAGAAAAGAAAAAGTGGTAGCGTGCCATCTCTAGAAGCTACATTAAGCTTCCAGGGAGCACAGTGTAAAATATTAAAATGTTAGTATGATACTAAAATTAAGTGTTATTTAAAGATCCAGCAAAGTGTAAATGAAAAAAAAGATATATAAGATAAATATATACAAAATATAATAAACAATGTCTTATGCATTGTATATGAGACCAATCTGAGAGCTATCGTGGCTCTAATATTCTGTGGAGCACCTTTGATTGACAGCCCTTCGTCACCTTAAACAGACCTAAACACTACAACATGACCAAACTGGGGAGAAATGAGTGAAACAGGCTCAGGTGGTGGTGTAGACCCCACCGTGTCCACTCACTATTACCCACATCAAACCACATCAGCCTGGTGATTGGTGAGGGTACTGCTTACAAACATGAGAGAAGATTAGAGCTGCCTGGTTTACACAGAAAGAGCAAAATTCTGCATCAGCTATTTAGTGGATATTGGAAAATGATTCATAGAACATAGAACCCCATTTCCAAAAACGTTGGGATGCTGTGCAGAACGTAAATAAAAAACAAAATGCAATGATGTGCCAATCATGTAAACCATATTTTAAAGGAAAATGCTACAAAGACGACATATCAAATGTTGAAACTCAGAAATTTTACTGTTTTTTGGAAAAATATATGCCTATTTTGAATTTGATGCCAACAACATGTTCCAAAAAGTTGGGACGGGGGCCTGTTTACCACTGTGATTTCATCACCTCTTCTTTTAACAACACTCTGTAAGTGTTTGGGAACTGAGGAGACACTGCTGTAGTTTAGAAAGTGAAATGTTTTCCCATTCTTGTTTGATACAGGATTTCATCTGCTCAACAGTTCAGGGTCTCATTTGTCATATTTTTCATTTCATAATGTGCCAAATGTTTTCAGTGGTGACAGGTCTGGACTGCAGGTAGGTCAGTTTAGCACCTTTCTTTTAATACAGACCATGCTGCTGTAACACAGGCAGAATGTGGTTTGACATCGTCTTGCTGAAATAATCAAGGCCTTCCCTGAAAAAGACGTCGTCTGAATGGCAGCATACGTTGCCAAAACATGTATGTATCATTCAGCATTAATGGTGCCTTCACAGATGTGCACATCACCCATGCCAAGTGCACTAATGCCCCCTATACCATCATGAATACTGGCTTTTGAACTGTGCACTGATAATAAGCTGAGTGGTCTTTAGCCTGGAGGACACAGTGTCCATGATTTCCAAAAGGAAATTCAAATGTTGATTTGTCAGACCACAGGACACTTTTCCACTTCCCCTCAGTCCATTTTAAATGAGATCGGGCCCAGAGAAGGCAGCGGCGTTTCTGGATCCTGTTTATGTGCAGTTTCATCTTTGTGTTCTAGAGCTTTAACTTGCATTTGTGGATGCAGCGACGAACTGTGTTCACAGACAGTGGTTTTCAGAAGTGTTTATAAGCCCATGCAGTGATTTCCACTACAGAGTCATGTCTGTTTTTAATGCAGTGTTGTCTGAGGGCCCAAAGATCACGGCCAGCAAATACTGGTTTTTGGCCTTGACCATTACATACAAAGATTTCTCCAGATTCTCTGAATCTTTTAATGTTATTATGTACCGTAGATGATGAAAAGCAAAAGTTCTTTGCTATTTTATGTTGAGAAACGTTATTCTTGAATGGTTTCACTATTTGCCCACTCAGGCCTTCACAGAGTGGTGAATCCTCCTCATCTTTACTTCTGAAAGACTCCGCCTCTCTGAGATGCTCTTTTTATACCCAATCATGTTACTGACCTGTTGCCAATCAACCACTAGGTGTTTTTTTAGCATTACACAACTTTACCAGCCTTTTGTTGCCCCCGTCCCAACTTTTTTGGAACATGTTGTTGGCATCAAATTCAAAATGGGCAAATATTTTTTTTAAAATAATCAAATTTCTCAGTTTCAACATTTGATATGTTGTCTTTGTACTATTGTCCATGAAATATAGGGTTTAAATGATCTGTTAATCATTGCATTTTGTTATTTACATTTTGCACAGCGTCCCAACTCTTTTGGAAATGGGGTTGTACTTTGTACATGTATATGTAAATTTAAAAGATTAACTTACTTAAAAAGAAAACACAGATTTGGGTTCCTGGAGATTTAAACTACATTTTAAACATGAAAATGGGTCTCAAAAGGATTTGGACTTGCCTCCAATGCCCTTGAACAGGCCTGAGACAGAGTTTGAGACGGCCACAGCTACGTCTGAAATAAATGTAGCTCCTTCACCGACCATTTCCAGAGGTTGGACAATCACTGCATTCAGCGTGTCTAAATAGAGAGGATACAAAGTACATTTTAGACAACAGTTAATACAAGTTAATACAAGGTAACAAAAATATGGTTCTTCAAGTGCTCTTTAGTAAAAGAAATGGTTCTATATAGAATCATGAACACTCAGAGAACCCTTTGCATAATAAAAGTGTTCTTTGTATCATGAAAGTGTTCTTCAGATTGACGGAGAACGTGCTGTAGATGGTTCTATGTAGAACCTGTTTGAAAAGGGTTCCACTATTGTTATAAGCCAAAAAAACCTTTTTTGGTACTATACAGAACCCTTTTAGCTAAGAGTGTACAGTAACAGAAACTGACATTTGGCTGATTGACTAATTGGCTTTGTTTCAAGACGAGTAGTAATTTTCACCAAACTATCACTTTACTGTTTTGGTCAGGTTGTAAGCCAAACATGCCATATTCTGTACAACTGCACAACAGTCACGATCAATTACGTTTTCATTTCTTCTTATCTGGCACATATTTGCATATGGGCTGAGTTATTGCATATCTGTGGAGTTACCTTCAAACATGTGGAACAGATGGCCAACTGGGGCCCGAACCCAGTCGTTCACTTCGTCCAGTGCATCAGTCCCGAGCTTAAAGACGCCAGTGACTCCTTCATTCCCTGCGGAGAAAACATTCAATGAAAACCCAGAACAGTCTCCAGTCTGCGTATCTTGGAGGAAATAAATGTGGTTGGGGGTGTAATGACAAACATATTTTCAAGTTTAATATGATTTTTAATTCTGATTTGATTATTTTTATTGTTTCATGTCTTAAAAATGTCTTGATTCTGCTTAGCTCTAACTATAAACTACACAGATTGGAATTTTGGTTGGTGACACATAATTATGAGGGTCCTTTTTAGACGAAACAAACAATCAACTGACTCTCAGTAACATGTCAAGAACATATGAGGGTTAGGATAAGGATTAGGGTTGAGATTAAGGTTAGGGTTAGGATTAGGGCCAGGGTGAGGTTTAGGTTCTAGGTAAGGTTGGTAAGGTTAGGTTTTGCGTAATGGGAGTAACATATTAACAACACATCTACTTAATGTTAGTAATGTATCAACAGAACATCTACAAGATATTTACATCAGTGTCTTCAGATGCTTCACTACTGATACTTCACTGATATGTTGTTAATGTGTTACTGATAATCTGTTAAGAGTTTATTAATCATCTACAAAGTACTACTCCAAACACTCCAAAGTGTTACCTTAAAGTTCCCCAACAGAACTTTTTCAATGCCTGTGACACTCTAACAAGAACGAAACCCCCAAAATGACAACTCCTTCAATTTATAAGCTTTTCTTTAAAAAAAAGTGTGTCTTTTGTATAAGCCCCACCCCTCCATACCCACTTTACTCTGATTGGCTGCACCCAGATGTCTCATGGACAGTGGTTTCCATGAAAGCTGGTCAATGAGAGACGATTAGAGGAGAGCCAGTGACATATCAGCCATACAGTTTTACATTTCCATACACCATTTTAAAGGTACATTTTTCAGATTTTTCTATACTGTGTTGAAATCATTACACCCATAATTGAGGATTATGAAATTATGTTAGACTAAACTTAAATCAGTGAAGCCACAATTCATACCAGAACCAAGTATTCCTGATAGAAATGTCACAGATGTGTCAGTCCACTGGACAGCAGTGCCCATCGGATCAGAGATCACATTAGGGACGTACTCTATGACCCCAACAATGCAGGAAAAGAAACAGGAAATGGATTCAGCGTTGGTTTATTCACATCTCTGTGAAGCTAGAGCAGTTTAGGCCTGTCACTACTGATTATATTAGTAATCAGGTAATTTACTGATTATTTTGACAGTTCATTAAGTAATCATAGCTTTATTCGAAAAGGCCAAACAATAAAAATGTCTGAGCAAAAACAAACCATGCAGTCATCCAAGACTGTCAATGAATGTAAACCACTGTTATGAGGAAGGATTAACAAGTAGGCCGTTAAAAAGCCTTCAAAAACCTATTTAACTTATTTAGTGTTCACCAAGCACTGTTTTTCACCACATGGGACTGCACTTATTTGTCATTTACAATAAGCATTACTAGCGTGCAGCTTGATTACTAATAAATGCTAATTCATTGATTTTAATCAATGCTTTCTGTAATCAAATAATCAAGTTTAATAGAGTAATCGTCGCATCCCTGGAGCAAACAGACCATCTGAATTATTCCTCATGCATTATAATAGAAAGAGTAGATAGCGCTTACCTTGAGCATCACTAAAAATGTCATTCATGTGGCTCATTCTGTCTGCAATGCCTTCAACAGCTTTATTGACCGCTGTTATTGGATCAGAACCTATATCTTGAAGATCTATAGCAAGAAAAGACAAAAATATATATTTTTTTCTGATTATACTCTAACAAATCAATGATATCTGGGTCATTCTACAGAAACGTCCACTTTTTTATCTCTCCATAGGAGTCACTGGTGTTACACATAAGAAAGGTAACACCAGAGACATTTTTAATGAACAATGTATTCTACAAAACGGCTGCTACAGAGCATCAAACCACATGTTGTCAGTCATGGAATATCCACTAAAATATGAAATTTAATCCATTTGTGTTTTTTCACAGTTACCTCAGAATAAAGTCGGTCACACCAGTGACTTCAGCTAAAAGCTTCATATGAAATCATGAGCTAAATGAGAAAATCTCTGATAACTGAAAGACACAGTGGACTCACCATGTGCTTTTCTTCATAGATCCTCAGAAAACAGGTAAAAGGACGTCGAGTGATGTCATCAGTGTGATTTTCAATTCAATAAGATTTTTTTTTATGCGGTAACACCAGTGACGACGGGGAACTTTCATTATATATTTTATAATATTTATTTGTCATTTCATATATATTTCAAATCATATATTTCATAGTCATGTATAGATTATTTCAGTTAAAATTGCAGAAAAACATGTTTTTTACCTCAAAATATGGCCTCAGCCTTCACACATCACTGTGAGGACGAGCTCTTCTGTGGTGCTTGGAATTCTATATAATTGATTTAAAAACCAATATTGCTAAATTGAGGCTCAAGAAGGTGTAACTGTTAAAATAACTTATTGTTTGATTTTAAAATATAAATAAATTGAAACCCTAACATGTTTTTTAAGTGTGATATATCTGTAAACGCTAGGGACACAAAAATGGACATTTCTGTAGAATGACCCAAATGTAGTATGAATGTGTTGTTATTATTAAGCCACTTACTGGTCAGCTGGGTGTCGCTCACAAAGTCGAACATGAAAATGCCAGCTGCCGACCATGAGACCAGAAGAGCGATGATGATCAGCCATTGTGCAGGACGGTTTAAGACTCTCATGAAACCATGGCTTACGACTTTAGGAGAGCTTGACTGTACAGCGTCTTCATTCTGGCCGTCCATCGTGGTGTTAGAGGTGGACACTGCTCCTGCACCTACAGGATGGTTAAAGTGGTGGAACACAGTATTTACTCTCAGCTACTGGGTATTTATTTTGAAACATTTAGGTCACTGTATACAGTCCAGAAGTATTAGCACCCCTCATGAAAATGTACTAAAATCAATGTGTATAATCAAGGTTGGAGAACACTTGGTGGGGGATGTTGGACCATTTCTCCATGCAGAACATTTCCAGTTCCCTGATATTCTTGTTTCTTTGCTTGTGGACTGACATCTTGAATACGCACCTTAGGTTTTCGACTGGGTTCAAAACTGGAGACTGAGAGGGCCACTCTGATTTTAAGTTCCTGCAACCATTTTTGTGTGGATTTTGATGCGTGTTTGGGATCATTATCCTGCTGAAAGGTCCATCCATGGTTCAGCCTCGTAGCAGAGGCAGACAGATTTTGAGCTAAAATCTCCTGGTATTTAGTGGAATTCTTTATGCCACTGATTTTCACAAGGACAACTAGCAGAAAAACAGCTCCAAAGTATCAGTGTTAACCACATAAGATGCTTTTCATTGTATTTCTGTTTTTTCACCAAACATGAGGATGGGTTCATGACCAAAGAGTTCAATTGTCTTATCTGACTACATTACACGATTCCATTTGTAGTTCCAATGACATTTTGCAACGTTCAGACGCTGCATTTTGTGGCCTACTCTTTTGTTGAACCCTGCCGAAAAGCTTCTGTTGATGGAGCTGGCGTCTGACACTCAATTTCTAATATTTCAAATTTCTTTGATTTTGATTAAAATATTCTTTAGGGTTGCCAATAATTTTGCCCCACCTATTAAAAAAAACACTCTTGTAGGAATGATTTCTATTAAATAAATGGTAAAACATTTCTCCAAACATTTATGAGGAACATTTCAGTCATTACATGTATTGTTTATTTTGAATGATCGCTTTTGCACAGTTTATTGAGGGGTGCCAATAATTCTGGCATTAACTGTAGTCACTATATAGTAACAAAACCTTTTAGCTTCAAAATGGTGACTTTATATGAGAAAAATGCCTAATTTGAAAGCATGTTAATCCAAAAAGTTTTTATTCCAAGTTCACTGCTGTTCCAAATCAGTTTGGACTCAATGTTTTCAATACTAAAGAACAATTTGGTTGCAGATAAATGTATAAAATGATTCAAACATGTTAGTCCTTTACAACTTCACAGCTATCTAGCAACTAGTAGGACCCTAGGAAGCATTAGATGTGTCCAAAATGATGAAAAAGCTGTAGAAGCTGTAGAAGAAAACACATCTTCAAATCTGTTCACTGAATCTAGTTTATGATTTGAACATGACTGAAAAAATGACTGTGTAGCATTAAGAATGAAGTTAATGTCTAGATTTTATCACTTTTTAAATGTAGAAATCAAATCTCAAGGCAGATAACTCGATGTAAATCAATCCAAACCTTTGATCATTTCTATGGTCAATGTCATAAGTTAAAGGGATTTTGTTATTACTTTTAGCTAGAATAAGTGTTAGAACATGTTTTAGTCCAGTAGGTTACATAATAGGCTTTACATAATCAATAACAGAATGTTTCACCAAACATCAGTGCAGAAAATCACTCAGAATCATCGGTAAGAACGTTTGTAGCCTCTCTCTGCAGGCCCTCTAGTGGCCACTCCACTGGTGGAAAGGAGATCAACTTGGATATTTTTAATTAATATAATTAATTGTGAAATGTTTTAACGCTGTGTTGAGCTGCTAGTGAGCAATAAAGGATGAAACTGCAGCTACAATTCACAGCTCACCACAAAGACATAAACCAAACTGCAGCTTTCTTCATATTAAACAATTGTGCACCACTGCCACAATTACAAGTAGCATTTTAACACAATTTGAAAAACGTGTTGACTTGTTTGCTCACCTGCAAAGACGAAAATCTAGTTCACTTCTGGCTGCTTCAATCATACACCTTTCCATTATAATATGAAGGGTTTCGTTCCAAAATGCATTATAGACCACTTTCAAGATTTTTCTTTTTTTCATTATATATTTTGGTGAGCAACTTTCACACATACAAAAATATCAGGGCTATATTATAATTAATGCCACCTTTATTAGAGAAATAAATATGTGTTTTTCATTACACACAAGCTGTTATTCTTTTCAAAAATATGTTATGGCCAAAATTGATATAAAGCAATTTATATCATTTTGGAATGAAACTCTTCATATATTCTACATTGTTAACATTATTGAAGAAAATATGGATGGTTTAACATGCAGATATAGCATTTTATGGCTATTGTGAAAGTTTCATATGTTGAATGTAAAGGCTCTAAATTGCAATAATTAAGGATGTACCCTGTTAGATCAGGGTGGGGAACTCCATCCTGGAGGGCCAGATTCCTGCAGGCCTACAGTTCTACAGTACTACTCAGACATACCAGATTTGTCTCAGCAGTTGATTTGTTACGTTTCATTACAGGAAAACAGAACATAAACAGACTAATAATACATTATTCTTAAATAAAAATGGGGAACATTTTAATTATTATATATATTCTATATTTCATATGATTGTTTCTGCACAGTTTATTGAAGGGTGCCAATAATTCTGGTGTCAACTGTAGTCACTATATAGTAACAAAATCTTTTATCTTTGAAATGGTGACTTTATATGATAACTGTAAAACGTGAAAGGTTTGCTCGTATTTGTAAGTTTGTTATACTTTAGCGCTCCGAAACACGAGTGTGTTTCCAAGGACATGAAAACAGAGATGGCGCAACCTTTAGCTCTAATTTCAGCGCTAGGCTGATCTTAGCACAGTCCAGAAAGAGTTAAAATATGTTTTACTAAAATATATGTTGGAACATCGTCAACTGAACACGAAAAGATGATGAGTCTCCATTAGCATCCAGTGTTACAGGTTAGCTGTAATTTTAGCTCATTAGCTCATCTGTCAGTTTCCCTCTGCTGCTTTTGAATAATAAAACAGGCTTTAAAATGTGTTTCTCTGCATGATGCTAATTTTTTGTGCAACACCAGTGCTGTCACCTAAAAAGGCTTTTAAAGCTACGTTCACATTACAAGCCTCATTCCTCAAATCCGATTTTTTGCTCAGATCCGATCTCTCTGACAGGATGGCTCACACTCGTTTAGGTAAGTGATTCAAACCTGTCATTAATGTGACGAACCGGCGTCCTGAAATGACCCTCATGAGCACATCCTACTCAGTAACGTCACGTGAATGAATCACATGAATCATCAGCACAAACTAACGAGCAGAACGAGCTTCGCTGAGAAGATAATTAACTCTGATCAGCTCTCAGCTTCATTATTAGAGCGAGACGAAGGAGAAAAAGGTGAGATGAGCTGCTTTTCCACCGTTTACAGGCTTTAACTTCTGTTCGGCGCTGCTGCCATGGTAGCGCTGAATGATGGCACACGCGCAGTGGAGAAAAGCACATGAATTCCGATCTGAGCGTCACATTAAGTTCACATGGCCACAGATTGGATACATATCCTATCTAGGACCACATTTGAAAGTGACTCAGATCGGATTTAAAAAGATCAGATTTGTGTCCACACAGGCCTGAAAACATCAGATCTGAGTCACATTAGGGCAAAAAATCGGATTTGTGCCACTTCAACCTGGTAATGTGAACAAAGCCTAAGTTTCATATTTGAGTGTCTGTCAGAGTTTATGAACAGATAGCCGGTTAACTGCGGAAAAGGAAAAAAAACAACACAATTAAAAAGGATTTTGGCAAAATTTATGTAGAGTTACACTACGTTCACATTACCAGGTTGAAGTGGCACAAATCTGATTTTTTGCCCTAATGTGACTCAGATCTGATGTTTTCAGAGCTGTGTCGACACAAATCTGATCTTTTTAAATCTGACCCGAGTCACTTTCATATGTGGTCCTAGATCAGATACGTATCCGATTCATGGCCATGTTAAAAGTTAGAAGTTAAAGCCAGTAAACGGTGGAAAAGCAACACATCTCACCCTTTTCTCCTTCGTCTCGCTCTAATAATGAAGCTGAGAGCTGATCAGAGTTAATTATCTTCTCAGCGAAGCTCGTTCTGCTCGTTAGTTTGTGCTGATGATGCACATGATTCATTCACGTGACGTTACTGAGTAGGATGTGCTCATGTGGGTCATTTCAGGACGCCGGTTTCGTCACATTAATGACAGATTTGAATCACTTACCTAAACGAGTGTGAACCACCCTGTCAGAGAGATTTGAGAAATGAGGCTTGTAATGTGAACGTAGCTTTAGTCAGAATGCACATCCCCAATAACCAGGTTTGATTGTTGTGTCAGAGCAGAGAAATCAGCAAACTGAGCTGGACTCCACCCCTCAGTTCCTCTCCCTGCATTAGACAGTGGAGCACAAACTACTCTTATTCAGTTTGTTTGTGGCCATGAATATAATGTACAAGTTGCCATTATATTGCTCTCTCCATAAGGAGATATCAGCATTTTCATTTGTCATAATTATCATCTGCTTTCAAAGAGATTGTTTGCTATATCTACATTGGGCTGGCTTCTCAGACTTTATTCCCACTCCTGCCAGCTTAGTTTGAAAATCTAAATGTAAATAATGACGCTGTAATAAGGAGTCACTGCGAGTCGAACCCTTAATGCTCAGTGTAATAAAAACTGTCAAAGAAAAGTGGTCAAATTTACTCCTGCTACAGCAGGTGGGTGAAGCAACCCCACATGAAAAAGGCTTTAACTTTGAAGAAACTTAATCCCAATTAAAAAGAGAGCCCTGCAGGTCGGTCACATTAGGCCGAACGCCAATTAGCAGAGTTTTCAAAGCAAAGCAAAGAGGCTGAACAGTTGTCCGAATTGCGGATGCATCACAAAAATAGTCTAAGAAGACTTGACAACATGGACAAACTGCATTAGCACAGTGGAACAGCTGATTGGCAAGGACAGACAGACACTTAACACCAGCTGCTAACCACCACAAAGCCTACAGCCTCAGAAATTAGCACAGAATTGCATGACACAATTCCAGGGAAGACTGAAACTGCTCTGAAGGCAAAGGAAGGACCTTCTCCATATGAGGTTCTTTCATTTTTACATGTATTATTAGGTGTTTCTGTTATTTTGTCCAGCACAATAAACCTCTTAGAGCCTCGTTCTAACACATTAAAACAAGCAGCTTGACTGGCAGGCAGTTCTTAATGAAAGCACTTTCAAATATTATGACACTAAAGGTGCTGATTCTCAGTGTATCTGCAGTGTATTCGCAGAGGCTTGTTAAGCTGCAGAGCATCTAAGTTAATGTCCTGTGTGACTTTCTTCCCGTGTCTTTTGGCATGGAACAACAATTATTCGAGAAAACAGACCCTGACTTCACATTAAAAATATGGTCTAGGCGGTAACCTGATCCAGCGCTCTGCATGACTCCCATTACTGGTCCATCACTGTCATCTCTCTGTGGATATGGCGCAACCCTCAAGAAAGTTTCGAGAGAACACAGGATTGAAAATAGGTCACTTTCATGCCTCACCCAAAGCTTTTTGTCATTAAATAAGCCTGGAATTTAGTCACTGAAAGTCAATTTACAGGCCTTTGTAATTGTAATGAGTGTTAAAGTGATAATTAATGCAGTTGTTTTTTTCAAAGAAAATCTTAGTGCTCCTGGACACTTAGTCTGGTGTTTAAGCCTTTGCTCATGGGCCAATTTCCCAGCCTCAGATTCAGCTCAAACATAGACTTTCAAGGGTGGAACACAACAGGCTCAATCCATGCCTGAGAAACCGGCCCTGTACAGCAGACTTTATCTGTCAAGCAAATTATGGAGGCTATGAATACAAAACTTGCAATACCTTCAGTCGGATTTAGTCATGTGGTTGATATTCTGCCTGTGTAGTCCTATCGGTTCCACCCAGGTGATGTTTTTGGCCCTCTCAGTGCATGGTGTTCATCCTGTTTGTCCCCCGTATAATCCACAGGTGAAACCTCTTTAAGTCATGTGGGAGAAAATGGATTTTTCAGAGTGCCAGGCTGGTTTGCATGGTGCAGGGCAGTGAGGGAAGATGGTGGAGGGGACCTAGGCTGGGGACTGAGGCTGTAGGCTTAAACGGGGGTGGTAGCAAACACTTGCTAATAATTTCCCCAATGTTATTGAAGCCTCACATGGGTATAGGGCAAGAAGAGACGCATGGGAGGCTTGACGGTAACCTTATCCATAGCAGCCCCAGTTTATTCTTAGCCAGTGTTCCCTTCACCAGCTGCACTCTGCCTGGCCTTTTTGGGCTGTGGGGGGTGTGACCTGACAGCCAGGCCGCAAAAGAAGAGCAGATCGTGTGTTGACGTGGATTGGATCATTAGTCTTGGATCATCACTCCTTACATTCATTTGCTGATGAACTGAAACAGTGTTTTCTGATCGCAGTCACACAGGCCTCTTCACAGCACCGATTAACTTCAATACCACATCTCTCAGATCCTATTTAAAGGCTATGTTCCCACTTATCGCTCTTTAATCAAATCTCAGAGGATACATTTCATCTGGGGTTTCACAGAACTGATCCACCTATTTATAACCAGGGAGCCAATGAGCTGACTCAAGCACAATGTGTCCCGAATGTAGTGGCCCTCTGCTGGCCAGGAGCAGTATTACTGGAAAAAACCCTTCCATTAAAAAACCGGACTGAAATAATTGATGTTTCAGTGAAAATATGGATCTGTGGTTCTGAATACTGAAGCAGGCCCGAGGGAATCCCACTAAATATGATATCAATGATGTGTTGTCTTAAATGCGCCATCGATTAAAACTGGTTACTGAGTTTGAGGACATGATGTATTGATTTGTCTTAAAATTTAACCAAATATTAAAAGGGGTCCCACTGACTTTTAATAAACTCCAATTCTGCATAATTCAATCGCTGAGATGTAAACAAGCTCACTGAGAGTGGTTTGTCTCAAAATGGTGACCAGGGGCTTGTGATGTCTAGGTGTTTTTATATGTAATGATGATGGTAACATACTGGAAAATATGAAAAGGGCACTATTATGCCTTACAGTGCCCTGCATGTAACCCTCTACCAAGAATAGGTTTAAAAATGGGTTTTGGGCTAAAACTGTTGCTCAAAACTATCGCAAAACAATGTCTCTGGCATCCCTTTCTGTGAGGGAGCTTTTAGATGTGGACGTCTGGTTCCTATCACCACCACTGTGAACAATTCTGACTCATTAAGTTTCTTTAGAACAGAGCATTTCACACCAAACCACTCAATGACTTTGTTTACATCTTAACCATTTAATTATGCGGGAAAGTGAATTACAGAGGCGCCCGTCATGCCGCAAAAGTAGTTAATTCTTCTTCTTTGAGGAGAAGCATGAAATCCAAAGGAAATGGGCTTGGGTATGAGTCTTTATTCTACAAATGTTTGTGCATAAATGAAAGAAAACAATTAAATAAAACACAATATCTATGAATTAATCTGAAGAGATGATACAAAAATAAACGTGAAAATCATGAGGTTGGACTCGGAGCATACAGATGCTGCACAGGGCCGAGCTCACAGCCCGGATTCAAACTGTCTACTACGGTGCGCGCTATTCCGTCTAAAACCTTCACCCGAACGAACGACGTTCAGAGTGAAAATCGTCCAAGGAAAACAAAGTGAGAATGAGCTACTCGGCCCTGCTAGTTCTGCCCGATGGAGGGAGAGAGAGAGAGAGGGCTGCCGAAGTTTTAGTTCATACCATGATCGTGATTAAATGCGGTCCAGAGAACGAGGATGGACCCAGAAATGAAGTCTTGATGTCAGGGGACAGAAATAAGGGCCAGAAACAAAGCAGACAAGCTCAGTGGAGTTAATGTTAAGTGACGTTTTTTAAACCTTTTTCCTCCTTTACTTGGTTATTTCATAACGCATGTTACAATGCATTTAAACGTTTTTTTTTCGTTTTTGTTTTATACCTCTTACAACAGTAATGATGTTAGCCATTTATTTTATTCTTTGCTAGAGAGAGATGCAGGTATAGTCAAGCATAATGCCCACACAGCCTGATTACTATATCGATGCATAATTAATTCTATCATTAATCCAAAGTGACTAAATAGAAAATGCACTCATTTTTAAGTAGCAAGAAAAACAAAATGGAAACACTGAGCTTTTGCTAAAAGCAGGAGCAAATAATAAGGCCCAGCAGAGTCACCAAAGCCAGTGGACACATCGTTTCCCCTCGGCGGAAGGTCACGATGCTCAGCGTTAGGAAAGCTCTATCTACGCGCTGCGGTTCTTAACATAAAGAAAGAGGGAATGTAGTTACTGGAATATATAACTGACAGAATCCCAGTAGTTTTAAAAGAGGCTGATCAATATTCGTCCGGAATACTGAAGTTAAATAGAAATGATTTCCAGAATCATTACAATTGTTAAAACAGGTTTCGTTTTGGCCTCAATTCATGCTTTTTTTCTCTGAGCTGATGTCTTTCTTCTGGATAAGAACGGAAAACAAAAACAAAAACCAGCATTATAAAAAGTAATAAAGCCTAAAACAGGGGGTAAGTAAACACGTCGATCATATTTACACTACATACAAACAGGCCGTTTCATCCTTATTCATGATTCTTTGTCACGTACAACACAGCCCACTGAAGACCACTGGGGTCCCCGAAAACACTATTTGGCTTTACTGATACATGTAATGTGACGTGTCCGTTCAGTGGAAGATGTAATGTGTCGAAATACTGGATCGAGATGGCAAGAAATCTGGAAGCTTTGTCATCGTACGTGCATCGTATCAGTGGCAACGTCCTTGTGTAGGGCAGTCTTAGTCTGTTGTGGCAGATCCGTCCTCCTGCTGTCCTGGGGGCTCTCGCCGTTTAGAGGTTGTCTCCCGGTTGGTACTGTGGCTCAGTGGCAGTGAAGTAGTCCTCCAGGAACGCCTGCAGGTACTCAAAGGTGGGCCTCTCCTCAGGGTCTCTCTTCCAGCACTGCAGCATGAGCTCATGCAGGGAGATGGGGCAGTCCTGGGGGCATGGCATCCTGTAGCCGCGCTCCACCTGCTCAAGCACCTCCCTGTTGTTCATCCCTAAAAGGCAAACCCAGACAAAGACGTTAGGATGTTGCTGACACTCTACAGGGAGCAATAACAACAGACACATATCTGTTCTTAAAATACCAGAATTCCTTTTGAATCACAGTTATTAGCTTTCTGTTTTTATTAAGACAGTATTACAGCATGTTGATGCAATTATGTAAATAGCTGACTTTGCATTGATTATTTTTGGCTTTTGACTTCTTAACAGCAAAAACAGCCTTATAATTTGGGTGCAGTTCTATAGATTAAACGTATATAGTCTAACTATTAATTAAACAAAATAATAAGAAATATTGTGAGTAATATGTGAGTAACAATAAGCAACGGTGTGAATTTTGTGTATTAACAACTTATACCTTAAAAACCTATAATTTAGGTGAAATTCTATAGAAAAAAGGTATAGATTCACAATCTGTCTTGGTTTATCAAAGTCATGGGGACCAATTACGGTTTATTTGCTGAATTCACTTATTAGGGTGGGAAAAAAAAACAAAAAACAAAAACATACAATGCGGCCGGTGCAAAAGTTATAACACGTTAATTATTTAATGTTTTATTTTTTTCTGATTAGTTAACTAAAGCAAAAAATAGAAACTGTGCACTAAAAATTGCAGAAGAATGCCATTTTTAATGTGTTAACTTATTTTCACTTAGAAAAATCAATAAAACCTGTCATCTGACATTTGGTTTTCAAACTTTTGCATACAACTAAACGTGCATATTTATTCATAGTGTTGCTCTAATCTGACTAAGAGAATCTGGGTAAACGACAATAAAAGTGTCCTGAATGTTTACTGTATGATGAAGCACAATATAACATTAAAAATCCCACCTGGATAGGGCACGCGTCCTTTGGTCACCAGTTCTGTGAGCAGTATTCCAAACGACCACACATCTGACTTAATGGTAAACCGTCCGTAGAGTGCAGCTTCTGGTGCCGTCCACTTGATGGGGAACTTTGCGCCTAAAACAGAACTCAGCTTTAGGATCGTGTGCGCAGAACGTTCAGTGAAAGAAACTCTCAGTTTAAATGATGTTCAAGTCTTTTGGGACTTGCTGGCAATAAAGTGATGCGATAATCCACCCATGTCTGCAGAGACTGATTATAGTTCCTGTGAACAGGTCAGGATGCAGCAGAGAGAATCAGGAAACACTTTAAACATTAGCTGTTAAACATGTTAAAGTCAGTGGTATACAGGAAAAGACCCCTCCCACACTCCCTTTCCTTCCATTCAGACTAGAGCTGGACAGTATATTGTTTGTTAATCTTTGTGATTTTGTCCCTCATATTGCAGAAGGCCTCAATGTGCAAATGAACACTTTCTTTTACAGGTTTTTTGAGCATTCTGGTCAACTTTAAATGTTCCAGATGAGTTTCTGTGTGTGTTTTGATGATTAATCAAAGCATTCAGATGATTAACATGAAGAGTAATTTTGATAGAAAAAAAAAAAAATAATGCAACCCAATATCTAATCGTGGTTTAATATATTGCAAAGCATATTGCAATTACAGCATGTAGCATTATAATCATAGTATAATATTTTGTACACATTAACAGTGTAACAATACACCCATGGTTCGAATCGAATCACAATAGCAGGTTCGGGTTTTGACATCACATGATATTTTGAACTAAGGAAAATGATGACTGTATCCATGTTATGGCATAATTCACTTATGAACTAGAGCTGGAAAGCAGGAGGAATGAAGTGCATGACATGAACAGGGCTGGACACTGAAAACTGGTAGTTAAAAGGCAACAAACAACAAACAACAACAAAAAAAAAGCAAAAAAATAAATAAATAAAATTCAATGCCTGTTTTTTTTATACTTTGGACAAAAATGGCATTATAAAGAATAATTCAAATAATTTAAAAAAGAAAAAAACAGATGATATCTGGGTTTGAGAGGCTTGTTGAGGCACGTACAGCGAATAATGTAATTTAATATTTAATAAGAACAGTTCCTTGTGCTGCGAATACATGAAATGAACAGCCGCCAAGTCAAGCAACACATCAAATCTGATGAAACTTGATCAAAAACGAGATTTAACCCAAACACACACACAAATGTTTTGAGCAAAGGTAAGGTAGCAGTTCACTGGCAGCTTTCTGACTTCTGCGAGAGAAAGTTGCCACTGCAGCATTTGTTTTGTTTGGTTTCATAAGTGAGCCCTATTAACTATGACGTCTCATTTTCATGTTGTGGCAGAGCTTTAACTACGCAAGGGCCAGTTCTTCTTGACCTAATGTGGTCGTCCGTATCTCATTATAGCGAAAATGTCCATGATGTCAGTTGAGCAGTGAGAGGGGGATAAATGTCACAGAGCAGTAAGCACACCTATCGTTAACAATGATTAAATGTTTAAGCTCCCTGGTTTGGGCAGGATTAATTAGTTAGCAGGCTCCTGACCGGAGCAACGGTCTGCACTGCAAAAAAACATCTTGGCAAGTGAAATCATCTGAAATCTATTCAATATATCTAATATTTCTAATATTACTTTTCTTTTTATATTGTTCAAAGAACATTATAAGATTATTTAACTTATTTATATTTTGAATAAAATTGAGTGAAATTGTCATATTGGCAATGCTTGGAAGTAGAAAAACGTTTTGGCAATAGAGTGTAATAATGAGATCATTTGGTCGAAAGTATCACAGAAATAAAGTAATTAGTACTAAGATTACTTTCTCCAGAAAGTCATAAGTAATGCAATCCCAAAACATTCTGAGAGTAGTTATTAGTCACTTGAATGGATTACTTTTTTGAGTTATTCACCCAACACTGGAGCGGTCTATACTAACATTAGTGTTGGCATTATGTGCGGTCTCTGTTGCGCCTGTGCAGTGCTCTGTTTTGATGCAAGAATCGCAGTCAGCTTTAGAAGAGCAGTGACAAACTTTGTGCTTTCCTCCATATTTTGCGTTCTCTGCTGCACTTCCATGACTTTATTTGATTTTCCACCCAGAAAACTACATCGAAGAACCTCCTCTTCATAATGTACAGGGAGATTCACTCGAAAGAGGCCCCAAATATTCTGTTTTATACAACAGTGAGTTCCGGCCACGCAAGCTGATTGGTTGAGAAGCGTTCTAACTGTGCTGTTATTTCGCCATAACGTCACGTTTTTTTCACAAACACTGTATCACTCCGCGGAGATGCTGTTGCTAAGCAACGACTTTTACAGCTGTAGGAGACACTCAAGACATTTGAACGTTTTTACTTCTTACTTACACAAACAGAAAATGGATACTTTTAAGATCACATTTGACCGACAGCCGATTTGGTCAGACTCTGAAGATGAGACGACACTAAATTCCCAAACTGTCAGTTGGCCTGTGTGGAGCTGGAGAACGAACTGCCGGCTGAGCAGCGAGTGGGCGGAGCTCGTTACTCTGATGTAGCAACAAGCTCAAATCAAATCAAATCAAATCAGATTTATTGTCACATCACAAGAGTACAGGGACACAGGTGAGTGAAAAACTTGAGTGCGAGTTCCACAAATTATGCAGAGAACAGTATTTACACATAGATAAACAAAACTATAGATAGGATAGAAGAATAGATAAAACCAATTTAACTAAAATATATACATATAATCTTACACAATAACTTAAAAATAATAATATTGCACCGAGACATATAATATTGCACTGGGAATGTAGAGTGAGTGTAATCAACTATATACTTTATATAGTAATGGATATTACAATGCTATGTAGATGTGCAAGTAATCACACTAGGTGTGGAGGTAGAAGATGGTACAGTAGGTGGCAGAGTATTTAGTAAAGTGCAAGGTACAGGAAGTTAAGTGGAAGCGCAGGGGGAGAGTATTGTCTTTGGATAGGTATTCAAAGTCCAGCTATGCAAGTAAAGTGCGGGAGTACAGTGGGTGCACGTACGTGTAATGGGAAGGGTTGGGCTGGGCAGAGCAGTGATTACTGGCTGTTCAATAGCCTGGTTGCATGGGGGAAGAAGCTGTCTTTGAGCCGACTGGTTCTGGCTTTTAAGCTTCTGAGCCTCCTACCACTCGGCAGCTGAGAGAACAGACAGTGACTAGGATGGGAGGGGTCCTTCATAATCCTTCTGGATTTCCTCAGGCAGCGACTGGTGTATAAATCCAATAGGTTGTTAAGCTGCTTGTTAAGAAACTATAATTTGGTGAAGGAACTGCGAACATTAAAACATATTAAACGCCGCGTTCACGGCCCAGTTTATTAATTTATTACTTTACTTATTTAACTCTTGTATAAAAGCAAAAGAATACTCGAGGAGTGTGTTGTTATTTGCGCACTCCCTTTTCTGTTCTATTGCTTAAGTAACTCCCGTTAGGATGAAGCAATCTGAAACAAAAAAAATATGCGACATATCTTGATGTATGTGCTATCGATTGCATAGATGCGATGTTGGAAGTGATGTTTTCTGCCAGGTACATTTCGACGCGGCACTCCATGTTCCTGAACTTATCGGCAAGCACATCGGGGGAATAGCAGCAATTCAGGTTGGATGTTTTCCTTCAAATCTTCCACAGTGCAAGCCCCAAAGGAAGCTGTCTGGTGGTGTCCGATCCGACCACCGCGGTGGCCAAAGCCCCTTTGAAATTACCCTGTTGCTGAAGAAGGACTCAATTTCTGCCATGCTCCTTGCCTACCTCATCGCTCTGACGCAGGGCCATCCCGGCTTGTTCGAAGCTCCATATACTGAGGAGCACATTGCACGTTGGTTTGGTCAGATTGCTTCATCCTAGCGAGAGTGATTACAGAATATTCGGTGCCTCTTTCGAGTGAATCTCCATGTAGATCATCATGTATTTTCACATTCATACCAGTCTGTCTTCACATGGTTGTGTCATCACATATAATCATGATTGGGGGGGTGGGGCTTTATTGAAATGACTGACAAACACTACAATCGCAAATACCAGCTACTTTATAGCTATCTATAATATAGACTATTTAACATCAACACATACAGTATCAATTCTTTCATTTCTACTATATCATTTAGATGAAGTGATTCACTGAACGGCCAACAAGAGAGACGATGGAATTATTATTAACAAATCATAGTGTTGCCCTGATACTGATACTGTATCTGCGCCGATACTGGCACTTAAACCCAATATGCACGCCTAAAGACAGAACTTAACAACACATCGGCGGTGTGGGACGACACAGCAGCAGTAAAACGCTCATGGCAGAATAAGTAACGGCAGTTTTTGGTGTGAAAAACATGCTGTGCGCACACTTCCCCCGCCCGCGGTGCGCCTCCATCGGTCAGCTGTATCACTCAGTAGCGGGGTCTCGCGGCCCGTCGCTTCAACCAAGCCAGAAAAAACACGAATATTGACAGCGTGAATGATGATGATACCGAACTGACGCTCAGAGATGCAGCGCGAGTGAACAAGATGCACGTATGAGACAAACGACTCCAGAAATTTGGATGTGAAACAACATTCAGCTGTTTTTTTGAGCCAGAGAAGCTGCTGTGTAAACACCATAGGCTTATCCATAAACTGTTCAGCTCTGTTTTTAAATGTTTTAAAATATAAAGATATTTTACATTTACTTAAGTTGTTAAACATGGTTCTCATTACTAATTATATAATAGCAAATACTAAATATATAGAGTCAACGAAGAAAAATTAATACCTAATAAATGCAGTCCAAAAGGTAAATGCTCTAAGTAAATCTAAAAAAGTAAATCTAGCCAGGCTGAGTGTGTTTCATTTGTGAGGCAGAACATAGATTTTACCAAAATAAAAAAAATGTCAAAAGTATTAATATCAAGACTTTTAGGTGAGTTAGGTTAGATAGAGTTGGTATCAGTACTGGTACTCTGTATCGTCTGATATGAAAGGATCAGGTATCGGTATCGGAAGGGAAAAGTGGTATCAGTGCACCTCTAATAAATAATCATTCTTTCTTACATGTCTTGTTAGTCACAATTAAGAAAATAGAAAAACTGTATTGGTATTGAATTAATATTGAAAATTTTCTTACAATATTTAGCCCTAGCCATGAAAGTGCTACAGTGACTTGTTGACTGGTGCTGGTCATTTGCAGACTCTGGAGTTCAAAGAATGCAGCCGCATTAGATTAGATAATTAACAGAAAGCCTATTCTCCACAGTGCACATGCTCTCGGTTTTGCATTGCAGTATCAGTTTTGATGCATTGTTACACCACCAGTACATACTGTGCAGCCCTAGTGGGTATATTAAAGGAATACAACTGTTATACCAAGTTAACTAGAATACTGAGCTCCTGCCTTAATTCTCCCTCTTTTGTTTATCATGTGTCGCAAGAATTATTTTAGTAAATAAATAAATGAATAAATGAATAAATATCACCCAGCCTGTTTGAAGAACTAAGCCCTCACCTTGTCGAGCTGTATATTCATTGTCTTCTATCAGCCTGGCCAGTCCAAAGTCTGCGATCTTGCATACTAAGCTGTCACCCACGAGGATGTTCGCCGATCTCAGATCTCTGTGGATGTAGTTCATCCTTTCGATGTAAGCCATGCCTGCGGCAACCTGAGAGAGATCGGACACCTTTGAGCATTTGTGGCTTTTTGTTCACATGACTGTTCGCTGAAAGCACAGCTCAGCTTCTGCTCGGTGAACTCAGCTCAGATGTTCTTACCTGAGCTGCCATGTCCACTAGGTTTGGCAATTTAAGGCCTCGTCCTTCACCATCCTTTAGAAAGTCCAGCAAACTCCCTGAAAGGCAAACGCGCAGAATGGAAATGAAGAGTTTGAACCGAAATCTACCAAAATTCTCCCCAAGTTTTGCTGATGAACCTGGATAGCTTGTAAATCTATAGATTCATTCTGTACTGCACAGTTATAAACAGAGCAAATACATACCATTATATGAGATAGGACTTTTAATAGGACACCTTAATTAACCAAGATAATCAGTGATGAGTTTTCAAAGACGTTCATCTTTCTAATCCCCATGTGTCAAACGGACCAAGTCAGGCCCATCACACAGTCCTATTCGGGCCATAAAATTACTTTAATTTTCTATTCTTAGTAGCCCGTTTGACCCTGAGATGCACTACAGTCCCCAGCATGCACTGCAACATAGTGTGCGTGCTAAGCCCCTCCGCCAACAACAATCTATGGGCTGCCGGTTGCACAAAAAGATGTCTGGTGTCTAGTTTAAGTAAATAGGTAGTTAAAAAAACTACCTAAAACAATTTATTTTTATTTAGATTTATTTTTGAATAAACAGTGTCCCATTCGGCTCATGGCAAAATGTTCAGTAAAAATGAAGAAAATTAGCTGAACTTTAAAAGCTAATCAGCTGAATAACTCGTCTAGGTGTGAATGAGGATTATTTCCTTTAAAATCCTATTCAGACACATCAACAAAATCATGAGCAACGTCAGTTCTGGTGAAATAATTCACCTTAATGAAAATATCTATGATTTATGACTGCAGAACAGCTTCTTCTCACCTTTGCCCATGTATTCTGTGACGATGTAGATGGGTTCTTCAGAGACCACAGCATAAAGCTGCACTAACTTGTCATGTCTCAGTTTCTTCATAATCTGTGCCTCCTCCAGGAAAGACTCTGGGGACATTGTGCCTGGCTTCAAGGTCTTCACTGCCACTTTAGTGGTGCCATTCCAAGTACCTGCGATTTAATGGGAAGATTGCATAATTTGAGAGACAACCAACCATCTAACAGGGAAGAAAGTCAAAATTATGCATGCAGTTAGGCTGCACTTATAATACATTATTAATCTATTTAAAAATCCCAGAATAAATATTCTGTAATTCATATGAGCACCATGAACCATATTAATTAATCATATCGATGCTGTCGTTAGAAAAACTTGTAACTCCATATTTGGCATAATTTGAAAGTGTCTGTTGCTCTTCACATTGTGCGTAAATATCATGATGAATGGACCAAAAGAAATGGCCTAAAATGACTTGGAAAAAATTCTGGTTCCATTGACTTACATTCAAAGTAAAGTAGGTTTTTTCCTTCTCCTGTAAAGTTACCATTTTGGAGATACGAGGTTTTCTTCCGAAAGCAGCGTATATATATATATATATATATTCTCACACACACATTTTCTAGAGAACACACTTCTGCACATTTTAATGCACAATTACTGCTCAGTTGCCAATTTTGACATATTGTAATACAGCATGTAACCTTATTTTGGTTAAAATAACTGTTTTTGTTTTTAGGTTAAATTCAGCAAATAAATAGAAATTATGCATCTGCAGAAAATGCCTTATTTGAGTTTGTTCCCTGTAGAGAATACGTAAAAATAAAACTGTACAAACTGAATAAAAAAAACATTTAATAAAAAAAATTAATTTAATAACTATGTAAAATAAATTAGCCTTTTTAAATTTTGCCATGAGCATTATAGATACCACTGAAATAATTTTGCTTAAGTGGACATCAGGCTCAGATCTGTGATTAAGCCCAGAGCTGGATTACAGTTCTCAGCTGACAGTCCTTCTCAGCAAAGCTGTCGATAAAGCCAGTTAAACCAATACATACCCATCCAGACCTCTCCGAACTGTCCATTCCCCAAGCGCTTGATAAGCTGAAGCGACTCCCGTGGGATTTCCCACACGTCTTTGGTTTTGACAGACAGATCAGCGAGGCGAGGCATGCCTTTGTGGCAGGGGACTATTAAACGACAACACAGCCCCGCAGCCCTCGCTGTGCACAGACACAACACAGAGAACTCTGGTTAGACAGCACGGCGAGGATATCGACAGCGACAGAAACAATAGTCACTCTGTCAATAACCGGCGCGGTCATTTATTTTCTCACACGTTATTTGTTAAGCTGAAGATTATTGAATTATTGAATATTTTGTACTGGTCTATGGTCAGTTGACTCAGATTTACCAGAATAATGCTGCACCAGCTGCTGCAGCGTCTCAAACTGCGCTCTGGTGGTGATGTAGTAGCCTCCATTGTCAAGCTTACGGATCTTGTAGTGTTTCACATGATCTCCCTTAATGTCGTCCCAGTCCTGTATGGACAGGGAGTATGCGCCTGGAGGAGGGAAAAGAGAACCGGACATCAGATAATGTCCCAGTCAGGACGGAAAAGGTTCTACTTATAGGCTGGTGCCATTTTCTTATGCATAACAATTCCACATATATATCATGTTTCATTTACATCTTATTCTGTGTTGCTAAACAGGTAACGTAAGTTCTAAATGTGACAATTTGTGTAATGTTAGAGTGACTGACATTCATCGATGTACTCCAATTTCCAAAGTAGCCCCATTTTATTGATAATTGAGTGATTACAAAATATGAATAACTGTATTTGAGTGGGTTGACTAGTCAATTCACAAGCAATTTGTCTTTAAATTTGCATCTAAGCGTTGGCCCTATCATCAGGAGATCGCGAGTTTGATCCCTGGTGATGCTACAGCTATCCGTGGCCAAGAGTCCAAGAGAGCACAATTGGCCTCGCTCTCTGGGTGGGTTGGGTGGCCCCCCGTCCTCCCCATCACTCAGCACGATGCTAGTCAGCGCAGGCGTCTGTTAGCTGACGTAACAGATCTGGCGGTTGGCACTTTCCTCCGAGCGCGTTCGGCTGTCCAATGACGTTGCGTGAGCGGCAGTTCGAAAAGATGCGGTGGTTGGCTTCACAGGTCTCAGAGGAAGCCTGTGTTAGCCTTCGCCCTCCTAGCGCTGGTAGTATCGTGGGATTGGGGGAGTCCTAACTAGTGGGTGGAATTTGAGACGACTAAATTTAGGAGAAAAAAATGCATTTATACTTTTTTCCTTTGTCTCTGCTTTAATAATCATTATTCATTGATATCCAATTTCCAGCAGTTTCTCATTTTACTGCCAACTGAGTAACTCTGTAACTATTTTTAAGTGCGCTGACTGGTCAACTCACATGTAATTTGCCTTTGAAAAAACGTATCTCTATCTTTATTGCCCCAATATCTTTAATGTATTAATGATCATTATGCTTTATGGTGTTTATTTTGATCTCTAATGTCTAATATTGTCACATTTTATTTAGTAAATGCATAATGGCAAAGCTGGATTTCAGCAGGCTGACTAGTCAATTCCCATGCAATTTGCCTTAAAAACCCCTCATCATCTAATGTTTTAATGCTCATTACAGCATTTGTTTTGATCTCGAGGTTCCAAAGTTTTCCCATTATATTGATAACTAAGCAAGTGTATAATTAAATAACTGCATTTAAGTGGGTTGAGTGGTCAATGCATTTGTAATTTGACTTAAAATACAATACAATTCTACCCTTCTTCCCCAAACCATGTTTATTATTTTAATTAATTTGTTCATTGTGGGGTTTATTTTGATTTCCAGTTTTCCTGTTTTACTGATGACTGTAACTGCATTAATGAATAGACGTTAAGTAGGTTTACTGGTAAACTCTTCTATAATAGGGCCTTGAAAATGTTCTATTCTACCAGTTATTTATCATTAATGGGCTCCTAAGAAGTCATATAATAAAAGTGAAAGCATGGCTTTGTGCACACGCTGGTTACCTTTAGTGGTTTCACTCTCCCTGATGAGAAAAGTGCCCCTAGGGTTTCCATTAGACAGCAGCTGCCTCTCTGCATCCTTACGGCCTAGTTTACCAAAGTACCAACTGCAAAAAAAGACAGGTACGACTCAGTTTAACAGCCTGGTCACATGGAAAGGCCAACTTACTTGATGCTTGTTAAAAATAAGAAAGTCACTAAAAAGGCACTAGTGTGGTAAACAGCATATAATCTCAGCGTAGAAAATAGCGTGGAACACCCTGGCCGCCTATCCGGGGTTTGTTATTTATCTTGGTCTTTCGGCGCACATAAATTGAACTCACTCTTCCGCCTGAATGGAATCTACTGGAGCCACGTAATTACTGGGTATATATCCTGTTCCACCTGTAGTGAGAGAGCGCGCCTCCCACCAGTCTCCTTCCCTGTAAGACAGCAACAAAAAACAAACGTTACTGTGTAAATAGGCTGCATATCGTTAAGAGAAGAGACTAACAGTTGGTATATACTCATGAGACTTCATATGCCAGCCTAGGTTTGCTGAGCAGGAGAACAGACAGGTAGCTGCTGCTGGTTAATGGTGGCAGTTTAGGGCATATTTGCCATCTTATCTTTGCTTACAGTCCTTGAGGGTATTTCACAAGGCAGGATTTTCCATGTAACTTTTGCCAGAACTGAACTGTCCAGCAGCAGAAAAGATAAGATGTATCAGCGAGCTGTACTTAGTAACATACCCCATGATGTTAATGCCACTCGTTTGATTTTTACCTAGAATTACATGGTTTAGATCAATAATGTCACAAACTGTGTACATTAATAGTCAACCAACTTCCCTGCAGCCATTTCGAATAGCAAACTACAACATTAGCCCACATAAGCCCAAATATGAAGTCTCTTGATTTTATTCAAGCAGTGATAGTGTAAAAACAGAGCAGCTAGACGCATGTATGAGACAAAAGAATTTCCCATTCCACCTTAAATTGTGCAGCACTTCCATTCAAGCACTTGTACAGGTGCCAGAATGTGACTGCTGTTCCATTTAAGGTGGAACGGAAAATTAAAACAAAAAAAGCTGCTAAATAAAAAGCCAAATCAACCTCTCAGAAATTCAGACGTGACTCGGTTTATTTATATGTTGTTCGTTTTTTACTATTTTGCACAATAAAAATGTTTCAGGATTGGTTGTTAAAAATGGTTTTTGTTTAAAAGTGAAATGACAATGAATACTAAACCACTGTTAATGCACAGAAAGTTGACTTAAGCATAGAAAATGATTTCATAAAAAAAATACACACACACACACACACACACACACACACACACACACACATATATATACATATATATATATATATATATATATATATATATATATATATATATATATATATATATAGATTATATATTATTTTTTTTTTTTACAAATTTCCCAAACCCTCAGAAATTTAAATTATATCGTGATATCAAATTTGGCCCACTGCTACTTTAAAGACCATCAAAACCCTCTTCTGATGATGTATCTTGAAGGTGGGAGAACTTTTAAAAAAACTACAGCTGCTTTGGGGGCGGATACCTCTAACAAGCTGATAAATGGAAAACAAAGCCAGAGAGCTAACGTTACTGCTGGGAAGCTGAACATCATGTCTGTATTTATTAGCCTCTACATCAGTGGCTACACAAGCAGTAAAGATTTCTTTTTCACAGTTGGGTCAGGGGAGCTGTAGGATGTATTTGCGCAATGCATTCTGGGTATTGTAGTGAGAGAACACTGGTAGATGAAATCTCAATCAAAAATTGTGAATTCTGTCAACACGACGAGGCTGTAGGATGCAATTCTGTGCAAAATTATACTACGTAACAAAAAAATAACATTAAATTCAGTTTTACACTGGAATGCCTCTAATTATTGTCAAAGATGGGGCTCTGTCTATGAATTTGAGGCCCTATTTATCACCAAATGCCTTGCTCCTCTCACAGTAAATCAAATGGCAGTAAAAAGTTGTTCAATTGTGGAAGAATAGAAAAAGTATTAGCATTCAGTAAGAAAGCCACCTGTGCAAACCTGGCTATCTGTGAGCACAACACTCCTGGAATGTCTTTAAATAAGATTATACTCACGTGCTGTTGAGAATTTGGAATTTTTCTCCTTTCCTGAAACTGAGGTCATCCTCTGTCCTTGCTTCATAATCATAAAGTGCTACAAAGAGTGTGACTCCTGCAGAAGATGGAGTGAACATTGAAGGGGGGGGGGATAACATAGAACACAAAAAGAGAAACAAACATCAGCAAGATTCTGAGTAAAGTGAAGAAAAGCTGCCGAAATATTATTAAAATGTTTATGTTCTGGATTCCTTCCTATTTATCATATCTGTCTGTTGATTTGAGCTCATAACATTCATCTTTTAAAGCGCCCACATCCTGGAAAAACTCATTTTTTAAAAGAAAAGTGTTTAATGTAGTATGTAATCCACTCCCAAGTCCACATATGGAGACTGAGCTGCAAAAAGAGCCCGTTTTAAATTTACAATTTTTGCGTTGTCGAAATACAACACAGATAAATACAGTTTTAACACCCTCAGTCAAATGACATGCTTTATTAATCTTCTAGGTAAAAATAATGCACCTTTTTAGAGGGAGCAAACTTAAATTTGGCAGTTTTCTTCAGATTTTGGCACAGTATTTAAAAACAAACAAACAAACAAACAAACAAAAAAACATAAAATATACAATATGCCTTAACTTTTGCACAGGCCACATTTCATATGGAAAATTCACCAAATACACTGTAAACATGCATTAAAGTGTGCAGTACGATGTGTTCACTTATTTTCACTTAGAAAATCAAGAACATGTATTTTAACCAGGGGCGCCAAAACTTTGGTTAACTGGTTAACCGTACAGGCACAACTGTGTAGTTGCCTATTCAGCCTGCAGCGGTTTAGCCCCCATTCATGCTGACCTTATGGGCAGAGTTTATACTGATTTTTGTAGGAGGAGCAATAAAGAGCAGCCAATGAGAACAGAGCTTATTCAAATGAAGTCTTAAAGGCACAGTAACAACAACCTGTTTAGCTGTAAGGGACAAAGACGGGCTGGAAAATGGTCTTGTAAGAAATACATAATGATGATAATAACAATAATAATAATAATAATAATAATAATAATCATAATAATAATAATTTTCATTTATATAGCACTTTTCATGCCGGTGGCAGCTCAAAGTGCTTTACAGACAGGAGACAAAACATAGTTACGCAAGAAATTATTAAGTATTTATTTAGAATCAGAAGAAAACAAAATAGATCAAATTAACGATAAAAACCATGAGACGTACAGTTTTAATTAAATTCTAAGTTAAAGAGAGACGTTTTTAGATGCTTCTTAAAAGTGAGCTCTGAGCTTGACTGTCTAATAAAAGGTGAACTGAGCTCCACAGTTTAGAAGCAGAATAACTGAACGAGTCTCTCCATGTTTTCTGTATTTTACAGAGGGTGTTTGTAGAAGGCCACTATCTGCAGATCTTAGATTACGTGCTGGAACATAAACAGACAGACACTCTGTGATGTAAGCGGTGCTTTAAGGTCATTTAGAGCTTTAAAAACTAGGAGCAGAACTTTAAAATCTATCCTGAATGATACAGACAGCCAGTGCAGCTCTTTTAAAACAGGACTGATCTGATCTCTCTGTGTTGTTTTTGTTAGGATGCTGCTGCATTTTGTTGTAAGGGATGTACTGTTTTCTTAGGAGGTCCAGTAAGAAGACCATTACAGTGATCAACTCTGCTTGTAACAAATGCATGAACGAGTTTCTCTGCGTCGCTCTGAGAGATTGTTTCTGGTGTATAAAACCACACAACTGTCAAAACTGGATCACAAGGGAAAAAAATAAAATTAAATGCAAGAAAAACGTAGGATATGGACTCTTTAACATCCCCTTTCAGATAAGGTTCCAGGAGAATGACGATGATTGTTATAGTTCACCTGTTCCACCCCGAGAGCGCAGAGTTCCAGAGTGTGAGGATGAGTTGACTCCGCCGAACACCGTCACCCCTTGACTGACAGGTGCGTGGAAGTTGTTGTAGTTGGGGATGGCGGTGACTCCGAAGCTGGGGTAGTGCTGAGGAGTGGGATCGGCGCCATAGCGGTACCCAGTGTGCTGTGAGATACTAGTCTCTCTGTCATCTGTGAGTTTGGTTGCCTCTTTGTCCTTACATTGTACACAGCCCATTATCTATATTCTGTAAATGGAAGGGAGCAAAACAAACAGCCCATTATTTATATGCACTGACTTATTTCCCAGCACTGTTTTTAAACAAGTTTCACATTTTCAAGATTTGATTCGCTTTCGGGTTTTTTTTGTGTTAAAAATGTCTAAAATAGCAATTTTTCAATGCTTTATTGAAATTGTTACCCTTAGTTCTTACAGTACACTCCCAAAAAATGCTGCTTCAAGAGTTCTTTGGTTAAGAAAGTGGTTCTATTTAGAACTTTGAATACTCAAAGAACCATCTGCATGATTAAAAAGGTTCTTTGCATCATGAAAGGGATCTTCAGATTGATGGAGAATGTGCTGGAGATGGTTCTTTTTTGAAAACAGTTCTATATAGCACCAAAAAGTGTTCTTCTATTATTAGAGTGTCAAGCTTGTAACAACAGAAGAACCCCTTTGGGTGCTATATAAAATCCATCTCAAAAAGGTTCTATATAGAACCATCTATATCACATTCATGCACATTTTCTGTCAATATGAAGAAGCCTTTTGTGATGCAAAGAACACTTTAATCATGCAGAGCGTTCTTTGAGTGTTCAGTGGTTCTATACGGAACCACTTTGGTTACTAAAGAACCCTTGAATAACCATCTTTTTGAAGAGTGTACGCGTTCACTGCACGCAGCATGAAATTATCCCTATGCTTCCTTTGCCAGTACCTCGCCGCTGGAGGGGCGTGTCTGTCTACAACACGGGACGCGAATGAACCTGTCAATCAGTTGTGGATCTCAAATATCTTTGAAATAATTACTCTTCTCAGGGCGGCTACTCTCAAACTAAAAAGCTCGGTGTAGTTTAGCATATGTTGGCTGGCAACACCAACAAAAATCAACCAACAAAAACTTCCTTTAGCCTTCTTTAATTGCGATTCAGTGCTGTTTTAACTCACTAGGAACACCGACAACGTCAGAAACTTTGTTGTGCAGTATTTCTTTCACTTTTCTGCTCGTATTTGTTTGGAATCACACAGAAAAAGGAACCCAGACAGATTTAATAACGTCTCGTCGATGTCATCCGGGTGGAGCTACAGGCACATCCTCACTGTGTGTGTACAATGGATACTCCCTGCTGAAAGTGAATTGGGGGGAAATTTGGGATGAATTTGCGCGCCGTACACGTACCATCATTTTACTGATATTGTTGTTTTGTTTTTCTTTTTGGGGTCAAATTTAATTAGTTCCATTAAAAGTTTAGCCACAAACTAATTTATTAAGATCAGTATGAAGAAAACACTGCAGACTGTCACATGCAAGACTATTTTGTTACTCTGAAGGGGACAACAGGAAATCAACCTAAATAGCTTAGGCTCACTTCACATGAAACAGATTAACTGAGGCATTCATTACTTACAATCAGTATTTATGGAGATCACTTAGAGCTGGGCGATATATATCATCTACATCGATATACTGTGATACTGACATGCCATGATATTTTAGTTTCAGTGATTATATATCTGATAGATAATAAGCATTATACAGTTATTATTATGGAAATATTTATTTTCTTGAGTGAAAAAAGTTAACATCCTCTACAAAGAACTTACTGCATATTTTAATACACAAATACCGTTAATTTGCCAAATTAAATATATTGGAAAAAAAAATAAAACACAAATGTGGCTGAAAAAAAAGTTATGGCATGTGTTATATTTTTTGTTTTTATTTTTATTTTTTTACAATATGTTAAACTCAGGATATAAATAAAAACTGTGCATGAAAATTTGAAGAAAATGCTATATTTAAGTTTGTTCCCTGTAGAGGACGGGTTTACTTATTTTTAGTTAGAAAATCAACAAAATATGTAGAACTAGTTTGTTTTCTTTCCCTAATTCGATTTTGTGCACTTTATTTATGCACCACCACTCAAAAGCTTAGAAACACTTGTCATATTAATACTTGCTATTCATTAATAACTCATACAGTGTCCACTGAAATTTTATAAACTAAACACCGAAACTTAAACCACGGTTTTAAGTATTTTGGGAAGAACATAAGGTTACATGGTAAAAAATATATATATATGGAAGTGTTATTAACTAATACTCTGTTGTAATTTTCTGTTTATTGGAATTTCTTGTCACAAAAATACTATTCTAATATGAGACATTCTGATCAGCAGTTTGTTTATCAGTTCACTCTCAATGCTTTACAGATTTCTCAGGTGCAATGAAATCACTTACAGCTCTGTTTACCATCAAAAATATCTTTTTTTTCATTATTTTTACAGGTTCCTACAAACTGCTTGAAACTTCTAAAAAATCTGTGTCTTTGTAGAATTATTTTATACACCTATCTTCAAAGAAAATCAGTGATTCCAAACTTTTGAGCAGTAGTGCAGTTTCCATCCTGAGAGTTAACTGCAGTATAATTAATTTGCTGTTGAAATAACAGTTTTAAAAAAGCCAAGTTTCCTGTCTGTGAATGTGCTCTCAGTCTTAATGCCAAAACAAGCTCGGTCAGGTCTATAAAACAATCATTTAGTACAGAGTAGCAGCACCCAGTGAGTTCGGGCTCATTAACTTTATTACTGCTGATTTAAATATAACCAAACAATGTGATAATGTGATATATTCTGAAAACATCAGCATGCTGAACTTCATCAAGATCACCCAGCACTAAAACCACTGCGTTCTTGTAGGGATGCACAAAAATATTCAAACTGTATCAGCAGATAATCGTTTACATGTAAAAGGCACTGGACAGAGGTTTATATCTGACTGTTAACTGATGCCGTATTTATTGTACTCTGGGTTTGTAGTAAACTGATTTAAATGGGTCGTAATATCATTCCATTACATTCTCTATTAACCGCCTCCCTGCAGATCCAAGTTATGAACCTCTAATCTTTCAGCTGAACATAAAAGCACATTCGCTTCAGTTCTACGGCGATGAGGGCGAAAGACGGGAGACGTAACGCATGGAGAAAGAAAATGCAAACAGATGTCTATTAAACATACCACAGGGAGCACTGGGGTACCACACTGGAGTATTTGCATTCCATTCAATTAAAGATGGAGTAAAAACATCTATGATTGGCTCCGTTCAAAACCAGGCCTGGGTGGGAGGGAAAAAAAGAGAGCAGTCAACTTTATTCCTATGAAATACACAGTTTTCTTTACCATATTCTATAAGGCAATCCAAATTATTCTGATTATAGGCTACTTATATATCATATAATCATTCATTTGCTGTTGTACTAGACTTTTTTGTGGGTTTTATGTGTTCCTGATAGGAATATCTTAGAAATGCCTTAGATGGGCAGGTCTAAATTGCAGCTTTAATCCTGGGATTCCTCGAGCTATAAAGCTTTTGCTTAGTAATCTACGGTCAGTGCCATATGTTCTCAGTCTGCTGTTTGTGTCCAAACATACAAAATTACGGCACACTTAATTTGCATTTACTCCAAGAGAAACAAACATCCCTCTTTCATACTTTATCAACTTATAAAGAGACATACATTTAAATCAGCTTAGAGAGGATTTCCGATTTTTCAAAATTTCTGCAAAATTCAATCGTTGAGATGTAAACAGAGTCATTCAGAGTGGTTTGGTGTGAAATGGTTGATTGTAGAGACTTAGATTGCTTTACAGTGGTGGTGACAGGAACCAGGGGTCGCCATGATTACAACACAAATATAGACATTTTATTTACTATCCAGAACCACCAGTGAACCTACACGAGTTTTTATATGTAATGTTGATGGTGAAATAGCAGTAAGGCAGAAAAAAACAAAAAAAAACAAAAAACAAAACACACATTTTCTTTGGGAACTAGTTGCCTTACAGTGCCCTACATGTCCTACCATACATTTAAGGCCTAAAACCTTTTGAAAACTATCGTAAAACATCAAGGAAGATATATATAATAGTTACACATAATCGTTTTCTGTGAGGGAGATTTTAGAGGTGGATGTCTGGTTCCTATCACCACCACTGTGAACAGTTCAGACTCAGTAAGTTTCTCTAGAACAGAGCGTTTCACACCAAACCACCCTGAACGACTCTGTTTACATCTTAATCATTACATTATGAAGAAATGTTGAAAAATTGGTGGAAGTCCCCTTTAAAACAGATTAAGATCTGGTTAAGGCTCAGCAAGCAGCCGAAACCTGCACACACACATGGCTGCTATAGGCCAGAGTTTTTCTACACCATCATGGGTAATTTCTTATCTCTGAAAGCATATCAGAGATAAGAAAAGACCCACTCAGCCTGAAAACAGCTTTTCAAATTAAATTCTCATATTTTGCTAGATCTGTGATGCTCAGTAAGGCCTTAAAAAGCACCTCCACCGATTTTTTTTTTAATTTACATAATTAAGCGGTTGAGATGTAAACAGAGTCATTCAGAGTGGTTTGGTGTGAAACGCTCTGTTATGGAGAAACTTAGAGTCAGAATTGTTCACAGTGGTGGTGATAGGAACCAGACGTCCACCTCTAAAAGCTCCCTCACAGAAAGTTACTACATGAAATGGTTATAAATACACTGCCCGCTGTCCGAGACACTGTTTTACAATAGTTTTGTGATAGGGTTTTGCCCTAAAATGCACTTGAATCCATTTATTTTAATCCAGCCATGGCGGAGGGACACATGCAGGGCATTATAAGGCAAAACAGTCCCCAATTATTATTATTTTACCATCATCAACTTTCCATATAAGCCTCAGGACACGTGTAGGTTCACTGGTGCTTTTGGATGGTAAATAAAATGGCTATATTTGTAATCATGGCGACCCCTGGTTCCTATCACCACCACTGTAAATAGTCCTGAGTCTATACAATGTGCCATTTAACACCAAACCACTTCTGAATGACTCTGCTTACATCCCAAGGACTGAATTATTCAGATATTTTGAAAAACTGGTGGAGTTGCCCTTTAACATCCCAACATCTCCGTAAGCTACAGGCCCAACAGGGCATTACATCCATTTTCTAACCATCAGTGACAATCGCAGACATCACCCACAGGCTCGTGTTGTCGTTATTTATCTGCTCTATTTCTCTCCACAGCCTCAGACTCTTCCTATGCAGACTGCAGACACAAAGTACCTGTCAACACACACAACACTGCATCCAAACGCCAAACAATGCATCACGTAACCTACAAAAGCTTTCACTGGTGGAAATGACCAAACAAATCGTCCCCCTCGGATTCTAAACGTCTGCCAGGGATGTGCCCTGATTCACTGCGCTGAAATCAGATGACCGTGCCATGCAATTTCTTTTATTTTTCGCGACAGAGGCCTTATTCTTCTCAATTGTCTCCATGAGGCCATTTCTGCTGCGCATCAATCCCTGCTGCTGCTGCAAGAGCGCTGCACTGAGCATCTCAACGTCCTCTACGGATAACCAGCCCGCTTCCCTTGATGGCAAAGATTTAAACGATTTGAAGGCAACATTATGCTGTTTTCCACCCTCGACCGGCGTAATCAGACCGGCTTCTGTGTCATAAAACGTCCCCATCCACCCACTGCATTTTAATCAGCTTGGATTTCCAGCCATAGGAGACGGATCGGCTGCGCCAAGTGCATTCAAAACGCCAGACCATCGAAAAAAAAATAAAAAATAAATCGCTTACCAAAGCGAGAAGCCGTCTGAACCGGTTTACACACCTATAGAAGCATCGGCACTGGCTCATGAGCAGATGTGTGTCTTTATGTTTTATTTTTGTGCCTGTTTTCTTCGGTGATTTTGCTCTTTTTACGAAAATAACAACATTCAGCCCTGACGGTTCAGCCTGCGCCTGTCGCCCGAATGTAACGGACGATGGCGTTGCTGAGGCGGTTGCTGAGGGGCGGGACCGCCGAGCTTGTTATTGGCATACGTTTCAGCCAATCATGATTCAGAGAATACGCACGCGCACGTGTGCTCGACCATGCCCCCCCCCGCCTTTTCGGGTTCTCTCGCACTCCTCCACCTTATTTGTTTTCCCGCCCGTATTCCGACAAAGCCCGCAAGGATTGGCTAGTTGTATCCCGTGTCCTGCGCTGGGATTGGACAAGTCCGAAGTACTCAAACGCAGCAGCCAATCCTAACGTAGGAGGGCGGGACTTCACGGAATACAGGCGGGAAGAAACAACCCCTCTCTCTGTCACTGAAGGCTCCCTGCCTGCCAGATGAATGCTAATTCAGCAGTTAGCATCCATCGGCAACGATGAAGTATCATCAGAAAACTAGATTATGTCGTTGTTTTCGGCCAAATAATGTTGTTGTTGTTGTGTGAAAAGCCTTGTTCGCGACGCAACGTTTGTCCTGAAAAACGAACCACAATGTATACAGTGCTACGCAGGATGTTAGCCCACCTAAAGATGATGACAATGGCCTCCATGTTGAGTTTACACTGCTGACTAGTTAGCTGGGCTGTCACAATTTACAAAACAAATTTGGATGGAATTTACGAACTAAATATTGGGTTATTATTTGTGAAACAATACTGTTACCAGATTTCATTTTATATTTCACACAACTTATTCCGCAGAACTTAGACTGAGATTTTTGATAAATATTTGATAACAATGAACACAAACAGAACAAAATAAAAGTCCACTGTATGATATACAAAGGTCTGTATTACATCTCATGGCAAGGGAGGTGAATTAAAGTGAATGAACTCGTCAAAGTGATCACATACGCCACGCTCTTTGAAAAGATGGTTCTTCAAGGGTTCTTTAGTAAAGGTATCGTTCTATTTAGAACAATGAGTTCGATACAGAACTATTTCATGCTTTTCTACATGGTAAAATAGTTCTTCAGATTGATTTGTTGTCTTTTTGAAAATAGTTCTATATTGCACCAAATAGTGGTCCCTCTATTGTTACAATCTTTACACGAACACTTTTTGGTGCTACACAGAACCATTTTCAAAACGGTTCTATATAGGACTTGTGGTTCTAAATAGAAGCATTCCCTTTACCACAGAACCCTTGAAGAACCATCTTTTTAATGAATGTAGTGTTCAGAAGATTGGCATTGCTGTTCAAACGTTTGGAATCAATGTTTTCAACAATATAACAGCAACTTGGTTGCTGTTATAATTATTCTAATATGCTAGTTCTATAAGTTCAAAGATTTCAAATAAACCGTAGCTTGGAAGTTGTAAATAAAAATGAAGACTAAAATAAAAAAGTCTTATAACATTGGGAATGAAGATATTAAATTAAATTAATATCTAAAGTTCAGCATATTTCAAAAGAGGGGATCAAATCTCAAGGCAGATAACTTGATAAAAAATGAATGTAGATAATTACAGGCCTATATTTTTCTCATTTTACCACTTGTTAATATAGTGTTTGAAATACTGAATAAAATATTTACCTTTTGGTGAAGATCCTGTAATGTTTAAATCCACATTATAGGCAATATGACAAAATATTATAGATATATTTTCAATGTTTTGCAAACCAGACTAAATTCAATTAAAGAGGTCTGATTATGCTCACTTCATAATGAAACATAGTCAGTGTTCTTTAAGTACTGACAACATCCACAATATGCTCACAAAAGCATATTGTTAGATAGTTTATCACAACATCGATACAATATTTTCATATTGCCCACCCCTTCCACACTGCCTGCTGATATTATTGTATATAAAATAATGAAAACTATAATTATGGCAAGTGATTCCAAACTTTTAAACAGTAGAAAATATTTTCTGTAAAATACATAAAACGTGGAGAGATTTTTTTCTGTTGATAAAAGGTGGAGCTTAATTCAACTTTTATTAGACAGTCAAGCTCAGTGCACACTTTTAATAAACATCTGAAAACGTATGTGTTTAATTTAGTGTTTAATTAAATTTCTACCTCTCTTTTTTTGGTATTTATCTTTTTTAATTTGATTCATTATTGGTTCAAATTATTTTATTAATACTCTTTCCTTTTTTTCTTTCTTGCTGTTACTGAACAGATGAAAATCACACTCAACTCATTTCTGCTAAGTTTTATCACCTGTCTGTAAAGCACTTTGATCTGCCATCGAAATGAAAAGCGTTCTATAAATAAAGTTATTATTATAAATATTATTATTATTATTTATTTATTTATTTATTTTGGTGGTATAGTATTGTGTGAGTGCAGTATTAGAAACACTGCACGCATGTCAATGGATTTATGGTATGGCCTAGTTATTTTTTCTGTGTTTATTATTGGATTGATGCAATTCCAATCTTTCTCTCTCTCTCTCTCTCTCTCTCTCTCCCTCTCTCTCCCTCTCTCTCTCTCTAAGTAAAGCCTGTGTTGGTGTTGCTGGTGCAGGCAGTTGCCATGGTGATCAGGGATCGTGCAATAATGTGGAAGTGCGTACACAGTGTGTATCAGACTGCATATGTGGACTCTGAGCAGGTCCGTCTAGAGCCGACAATAAACCATTACTGAATCCAGGTCACTGGGGTTCCTCGGAAAGGCATCGTCATGCATGCAGTGTTTGGGTTTGTGTTTTGTGAACCGTAACGATTTTAATCACCGGCAATAACTGTGCTCATCCATCATTTTGTCAATCATAGCGTTAATCACTGTAATTTTCAGCTACGTTTAATTAATAAAGCCTACTCTTCAAGGAATGGTTCACCAAAATATCAGATTTACACAATTTCCCCTCTTACACCAAACAAAGTTGATCAGCCGAGACATGTTTGGTGTCTGAAGTTTGCCTCTTTAGCTTTGCACTGAAGTCTGTGGGCGTCACAGACTTTTATTATATAACTCCAGTGAAAGAAATTCTACAAAATTTCTTTTTTGTGAACCATCCCTTTAATTTGTGAATATGGTTGAAACCAGGCACGCTGAACTGTCCAGTAGCAGCAAAAAGCAGACAGACTTGTGGTGCAATTTTCAAGCCTACACTGTTAAAAAAGATGGTTCTTCAAGGGTTCTTTAGGAAAGTGAATGGTTCTATGTACAACCATGAGTTTTATATAGAACCATATGCCTGCTTGATTTGCTCCTTGCATGGTGAAATGGTTCTTGAGATTGATGGACAATGTGTTGTATATGGTTCTACATAGCACCAAAAAGGGTTCTTTACTTGTTACAATGTCAAGCTTCTAACAATAGCAGAACCCTTTTTGATGCTACATAGAACTACATACAACACATCCATGAATCTGAAGAACCTTTCACTATGCAAACAGTCATATAAGTATGATATGGTTCTATACAGAAGTCGTGGCTCTAAATAAAACCATTCCCTTTACTGAAGAACCCTTGGAGAGCCATCCTTTTTGAGAGTGTAGTCAAATTGAATTACTACTACTAAACAGCTGAATGACCAGGATGACTCAGAATAACCTTTACAGACCTTTCATTTAGCGTTACATGATGCAATTCAGCATCGGATTTGATGTAGCATCAAATGATGAAAGCAGATATATAAAAAAGTGTATTTATCTTCTGTACATGTTAAAAGTCTTAAGTCACTGGTACTTGGTACCAACAACTACAGTATAAGTGGGATTATACCGTTATAAGTCCAGTGACTTTGATTTACTACCAAAGCCTCCTTTAGTTATGTCTATAGATAAATTTCCATCATGTGTAAACTAGATGCGCATGATTTGAATCAGCTAAGATCAGAATCAGCAATTTTTTAATCCAAATATGTGATCGGCAATCAGACAATTTATCAATTTTTTGAGATAAATGATGTGAGGCAGGTAAGTGCACTCAAGTTGTATTTGAGGGCTATTATTTTATTATTAGGTCCATTTTTTTCCCCACAAGGTAAATAATGGTATTTATATAGAAACTTTAGATAATAGGGATGTTTTGGAAATGGTTGGAATGTGCCAGTGTGTTTAGTTTGTTATTTAAGCCAACACAGCATGAGATTTAGGTTAAATAAAAAGGCTATAATTGGCCCAAAAAAATGCATAGGCCAATTTGCCTATAAAGAAAGAATTGGACATAATTATTAATGATAAGCGCATCCTTAGTGTAAATGAAAAGTTTTTCCCAGTAGCCTGGATGTGATATTACCAGACAACATATACATTTTTTTTCCTCTCTGAACAAAAAGGCATCAGATCGGATATTAAGACTAAGATTCACAATCACAGAAAGAATAAAATTTAAAAAGTAAAACAAACAAACAAAAAAACGGATCTCAGATTAGATATCAGGACTAAGATTTACAGTAACTAAAAGTGTAAAAGTAAAAAAAAACAAAACAAAAAAAAACAAAAAAACCATGGATCTCAGATTTTTTACTCTAAATATGCGAATATCAGAAATCAGATAATTTTTCAGTTTTATGAGATAAATGACGTGAGGCAGGTAAATGCACTCACGCTGTATCTGAAGGCTGCTGCGACACATCAAAATGTTAGTCACCTCTTACTTTGGATGTAGCTCATGTTATTTAAAGGGCCCATATCCCACATTTTTCTAGTACTATTTTCCCCCCAAGGCCCCCTTATAAGTGTTGTGTAGGTTTATGTATCGAAGTCCTGCTACCCTGTTTTGTGCCTCATACAAAAAGGCAGTATGAAACACTCCTTATAACTTCAGCATGAGTGGGCGGGGCTGAACTGCTACAGACTGAATGGGTCGATATACGCAAATGTGGTGGTTTTTGTAATGTCACAAAAACAGTGAATTCAAAACACGCTGTTTTTTTTCCAGCCTAGCTTCCATGTCTGGAGTGGCGAGTGAATAGTATGTTTTGAAACTTTAACAATGTTTACATATTACAATCAAACTCTTTTTAAGTGTGGAAAATTCAGCTTTCAGTGATACTGGCCCTTTAAACAGGCAACTAAATTTTGTGTAAGACTTTAAAAAGCCAGTTTGGCCCATTAAAGAGCAAATAATTCAAAAGTAAATAATGGTATTTATATAGAAACTTTAGATAATAGAAAGTATTTAAAATGTTTGAAATGTTTGTGTGTTTCATTTGTTATTTAAGCCAACACAGCATGAGATTTAGGTTAAATAAAAAGGCTAAAATTGGCCAATATATATATATATATATAATATATATATATATACTATAATATATATATATATGTATATATATCATGGGCTAATTTGCCTATAAAGAAAGAATCGGACATAATAATTAATGATCAGCGCATCCTTAGTGTAAATGAAAAGTTTTTACTGGTACATTCAGCAGCCTGGATGCACTATTACCAGACAATATATAATGAAAATTTTTTTTTTTTTCCTCTGTGAACAACAAAAAGGCCTCAGATGGGATATTAAGACTAGGATTCACAATCACAAAAAGAGTAAAATGAAAAAAAGTAAAAAGTAAAAAAAAAAAACAAAAACAAACAGGCATCTCAGATTAGTTATCAGGACTAAGATTTACAGTCACAAAAAGAACAAAAGTAAAAAATAAAACAAAAAAAATCTCAGAATAGATATCAGGACTATGACGTACAGTCACAAAAAAGAATAAAAGTAAAAAATGAAACAAAAATTCTCAGATTAGATATCAGGACTGAGATTTACAGTCACAAAAAAAAGAATAAAAGTAAAAAATAAAACAGAAAACACGGATCTCAGATTAGACTAAGTCCTGACTACGATTTAAAGTCGCAAAAAATAAACAAAAATGAAAAAGTAAATCAAAAAAACATTTATTATCAGTGAGTTTCAGAGCTTTATCACTAGTTGCTGCCTCTCTCTCTCCCCCACTCTCAGCCCCAGTCCGAGGCTCCGCCCACTGTTTGTAATTCGGACTTCTGATTGGCCGAAGCAGCTTTTCCATGCCGTGACGAAACTTCGGGCGTTGTACATGGCATCTCATTAACAAAAGAGGCAATATCATTACCTTTATCTCACATTCCGCCGTAATTATTTTTCAAAGGAAAATAATCGACTTGAAAAGGGAAGTTTAGCAGTTGCGGATTGTGTGTTTGGTCAGCGTTGTTTTGCGCGCGCAGGCTCTCCGAGCACCGAGTCCGCCGCGAAGAAGCAGCTCGCCGCCTTTGTTCATTCATTCCAGCCGCTGGGAGTCTTTGTTGGGGGAGTGAAAGAGGGAAAGCAATGGGAGCCCAAGTCGCCAAAAACGGGGCAAAAGACGAAACTGCTGCCGAAAACGCCCCCGAAGCCGGAGCGAAAGCAAACGGGCAGGTAAACTTGACGTTAACCCATGTTTAACCGCGGATGGGTGGATGGATGGATGAAAGGATGGATGGATGGGTGAATGCGAGGGAAGGGAAGAGGCTGAAGTCAGCTTCTTGTTCGAATTTGCCCGTTCCACCTTAAATGGTGCAGCAGTTCCATTCTGGCGCCTGGGGCGCACAAGGCGCCAGAATGGAACTGCTGCACCATTTAAGGTGGAACGGGAAGATTAAACTGAATGCAACTCCTGATGCTCCAGAATGTAACCGAAGCACCGTTTAAGGTGGAACGGGGAGATTCGAAGAAGAAGCTGGCGAATTAGAGCCTCGTAGGGAAGGGCTAGACCAGACTAGACCAGATGGAGACGAACAATGAAAATCGCCCATCAAACAAAGGAGCCCCAAAATCAGCACATGGTCGGGTTAGAAGCCAAATGCAGTGGCTTGGTTTGATCAAATATCGCAAAAGTAGAAAAATTATATATAAAAAAACAACCTGTTTTCTTTCTTGAGGTTTAATGTGGTGCGAATTACAAATTCTCCCTTTTGTTTCCTTTCAATTCCTCCACATGGGGTCGATCAAAAGCTGCGTGTTTGGGTCGTGGACGTTTTTTTAAAAGTGTTGAAGCAAGAAAAGCAGGCAAGCATCAAGTCTGTTAACAATGCACAGCCATTTCAGTGGAAACTACCACGCCTTTATTTCAGTTAGAGCAGATGTTAGTCGCAAATAAAGGGGGGGGTATTTTCTATTTTCGAGGAATAAAAGCGAGCTAGATTCATGCCACAGACTAATGGTCTCAAACTTACCAAGTCCTTCACTATAAAGTAGATTTGGGGCACTCACTTGCTGTGGTTTGACCGTCCATCTTGCATTGCCAAGCCAGACAGCAACAGCTTCAGCCAGACAAAGTGGCTTCACCCACGTGGCGAGCAAATGCACTGGGGCACAGCACAAACCCACTGCAATCAGTGCACCACTGTGCTGAGATGTTTCACCCTGTGGTTCTCAGTAAAGCTTGCATTCACTGCATTTCTCAGTGCTTTTCTTGGGTTCCTGAGCCAAGGAACCCAGTTTCCCCGTATAGACCTGTTATGATCTTTTCTCTCTTTTCAGGAAAATGGCCATGCTAAAACCAACGGCAATGCCTCGCCTACAGCAGATGCAGCCGGCGAGGAGGTCCAGGCCAATGGCAAGCACTCGGCAGACGAGGAGGCCAAGGCCGAAGATGGGGCGGCCGAAGGCGAAGCTGCGAGCGCCCCTGTAGCCAACGGAGAAGAATCAGCCAAGTCGGAGGAGAACGGCTCCGCATCAGGTAGCGAACCCGCCAAACAGAAGAAGCGCTTCTCCTTCAAGAAGCCCTTCAAGCTCAGCGGCTTCTCCTTCAAGAAGAACGCCAAGAAGGAGGCCGAGGGTGGCGAAGGTGAGGCCGCAGCGCCAGCCGAAGAAGGCAAAGAGAAGGCCGAGGCAGAAGAGGCAAAGCCCGAAGCTGCTGCTGCTTCTGCCGAAGAAGGAGAGAAGGAGGCCGCGGAGGCCCCGGAGCCGAAAGCCGAAGAGCCGAGCGCAGGTGAGGAGAAGAAAGCGTCCGAGGAGGTAGCGGAGGAGAAGCCTGCTGAGGCCGCGGCTGAAGAACCCACGCCTGCTGAGAGCTCGGATGCCCAGCCTGCTGCTGCGGATGCTGCTGCAGAGTAAACGAGGTCCGTTGATGGGGAGGCGACAAGCCTCTTTTTAATGAAGTAATAAGGAGCACAACCACGGAGGATTTGTACAAAACCAATGACCTTTCAAAGCTGTCTTATTACCTGTAGTCATTTCATCCACTCCTACTCCATCCAGTATGCTGCCGTGGTGCTCCCGAAGGAAGGGTTGGATGCTTTGATTGGAGAACGAAGAGCACCATACTTCAGTTCCTCCATAAGTGTTTGTTACAGTATTGCGTATGGATGTGTGCATAAGTGTGATGCAGTATTTTTTTTGTTTTATGTTTTTTCATACATGTTAAACCATTTTAGTGTCATATGAAAAATTGAAATGTTAGATGAAGAAAATGATGCCATACCATTAGGTTCTGCCAGTGTTTTGCTAGGAAAAGGGAGCTACTGTGAAGGAAATATGGCATTGTGGGTTGATTCACAGATCAGATTATTGTTCGTCTTATGTCTGTCATCACGTGAGTCACTGAAAGGGGTGCTCTGAATTTAACCAGCTGCACCAAATCCAGCAGCACTGTGTGGTTGTGTAGGCTTTGTCATGTTGTCTTTTATTATTTTTTTTTAACTTTTTCAGTGCTATAGATGAAGTTCGACTCCCCCCCCCCTCCTCTTCCTCCTCCAAACCTTCTTCCTTTCTAACAGAATGGTGAAATGTAGATTGAAAAATTTTTGACCTGTGATGACTAATACTGTCTTTTCTTTCTTACCGTGCTGTGCAAGTATGTGAAATTGCCAGTGCAATCAAATAGAATATGGTTTTCTGTAAATACAAGGTCTGTCACTACTTGATTTTTAAATGGAATGTAACTTTGCATACAGAATTATGGATTCAACTCAATTTCAAGGGGCACAGAAAGCAAAAATAAAGGATTTAGTCTCATTTGTGTGATGCTTTCAGGGCCACTTTCCTGGACATGATTTAAGTCTAGTCCTGGACTAAATTACAATGCCAGTGGTGACTGGCCATTGAAAATACTTTGTAGTTTTATTTTAGGCTTAATCTCTCTTAAAGGATCATGTCCTTATAGATATCTCGCTGCTGTTGGAACAAAACCTCCTATCTCTGTTTTTGTTGCTTTTTTTCTGTTTTGAATAGTTTGAAAATGCCAGTTGGCCTTTTAAATTGTGCGTAATTTTTATGGTGAATGGACCAAAATTATTTGAAAAGAAGTCAGGTTCCTTTGACTTACATTAAAAGTAAAGTTTTCCTCCTGTAAAGTTGTCATTGGAGATAGGAGGCTTTGTTCCATCAGCAGCAGCATGTCTATACGTGTGTGTGTGTGTGTGTCTCTAACCATTTGTAGCTTTGAAACTATTGGGAAAAGCTCTTGCAGACTTGACAGGTAAACTACTGATTTATCTTAAAACTGAACTATTTGGTTGAAAATGATTGGAGAAATGAAAAGCAATGGTATACAGTCGTATGCCGAAGTTTGAAGTGACCCAAATTGCATCTTGGCTTGAAAATAGTGCACGTCCCCTACAGAGAACAAACTTCTGCGTATTTTAATGCACACTTACTGTTTACTTGCTGATTTTAACACACTGGGGAAAATTAAAATGTGGCCTGTGCAGAAGTTATGGCACATTTTCTTATTCCTTGATGTGTCAAACACCGCAAATGAGAAGAAATTGCATGCACTTGGTTTCATGCAGAGGATGTATTAACTTATTTTCAATTTAGCAAATCAACAAAATGTCTTTTGATCAGAGGTGTTCAAAGTTTTGCATATTCCCATATAAACTCTATGCATTCTATGTATATTTAGTTTATTGATCTTCAAATACTGCACGCCATAAATGATGGTTCTTCAAGGGTTCTTTAGTAAAAATGGTTCTATGTAGATCCATGAACACTCAAAGAACACTTTGCCACAAGCCTGACTGTAACTATAGAAGAACCCTTTTTAGTGCTATATAGTGCCCTTTTCAGAAAGGTTCTATACAGAACCGTCTACAGCACATTCTCCATCAATCTGAAGAAAGATTTCACCATGCAAAGGGTTCTTTGAATGTTCATGGTTCTGTATAGAACCATTTACTAAACAACCATTGAAGAACCATCATTTTAAGTGTGTGTGTTAACAGAATGTAAGACAGTTTATTGTTCTGTTAATTTGGAGGCATTAAATATAAACATCACTATCAGTCACTATCAGTACATTCCATTTAAGACTAACTGGTACTTGGTTCTTAATTTATGATGTCTTCAATCTTGCTGGCCAGTTTGCTGACCAATTAAAGCGTAGCCTTGACTTATATTATCACTTATTTAACTGTAAGTGGTAAGGGAGTAGACTTGATCTGTTTTGGAATAACTTCCCTAAATTCACAAGTTTACTTAATCCAGTTTCAGATTTGTGTTTGAAAATCAACATTAAATCCACGTCTGGTGTTCAGTTCAGTAGGTGGGTGTCTGCACTGCAGCACCACCATGTGGTCTTTACTAAATAAACACATGATGACTGAGGGATAAGAGGTCTTTAAATCCTAGAGGCCAATTCAGCTTTAAAAATACATAAATAAATAGTAATAATAAAAATGGATAAACAATTAAAGCACTCAAGTGTTGTCTTAGACGTCATTATCACAAAGAAGTTGAAAACTTGAAAAGCAGCTGTAGAAACACCACTAAGTGCTTTAGCTAAAAGAAAATAGTGACTCTTCTGTAATAATTACAGTTGATTTGTTATGACGTCCAAATACTTCTGGACTATAAGAGCTCATTTCGCCTGCAGCGCTGGTTACTTATTTATTACTTTTGTCAAAATTATGTTACAAGTATTTCAGCTTATACAGACACTCAGCACTAATCATGGGTGTAATAATCAAGACTTAAAGAAAGAGCTTGAATGGTCAGCGCTGGACAGAGAAAAAGGGCTGATGTGACTAAAGCATTTCACATTCTGACCTCCCCTGAAATAACATGCAGAGGCGTATTGGTTAACATTTTCTTTTGATGGTTCATTCCAGGCCCGCCAAGTCTTTAACTCAGTTGAATGTAACAGATTCTATTGATTTTACCCTATCCTTAAAGGGCAATTCCACTGATTTTTCAAAATTTCTGTATAATTCAGTCATTGTAACCAAAGTCATTCAGAGTGGTTTGGTATGAAATGGTTGATTGTAGAGACTCGGATGTCTTTACAGTGGTGGTGATAGGAACCAGGGGTCGCCATGACTACAACACAAATATAGCTATTTTATTTACTATCCAAAACCACCAGTGAACCTACACGAGTCTTCTGAGTTTTAAGATAAAAAAATAAGTTTTCTTTGGGGACTATCTCGCCATACAACACCCTGCATGTTCCTCTACAACATGAATGGATCAGGCAGTGAATTCATAACCATTTCGTGTAGTAACTTTCTGTGAGGGAGCTTTTAGAGGTGGATGTCTGGTTCCTATCACCACCACTGTGAACAGTTCTGACTCGGTAAGTTTCTCCATAACAGAGCATTTCACACCAAACCACTCTGAATGGCTCAGTTTACATCTTAACCACTTAAAAATAGATGGAGGTAGTTTGTAAACTATTTCAGCATCTCTAGATAATCTGTATGGGGACTCCCAAAATAATCAGACCTGGAATGGCTTTGATTTTTACATTGTTCACTCACTGTGACTGTAAATATAATCAGATTAAAGACGTCTAACTTATTATTTAATTTCAAATCCAATGTGGTTATGTACAGTGCCACAACAGGTATAGTTACCATTACACCAGTAAATTGGACCATTCTACTGAACTAATTCAAACTGCAGACCCACAAAAAAACACTATTTAAAGAAACAATTAAATAATCAGACTTTAGATATTTACAAGATGTACCCAAGGCCTTAATAGAGATAGTAATAAGCTAAATAGATACAAAATCATAATTTATAGGCTTTCTATTGGGAGGTGACCCTAACACCTAAATTTACACTTGTCAAAATGATACTTAGTTTAAAAAAAAATAATGTATTTTTTAAAGATCTTGTAAAAAGGCCTAAATTTGTCATGAGTTTATTTTTAAAAACTTTATTCAGAAAATGCTGCCCCATGTTTTCATGTCACTACTGAAACATGCAGTGTGTCCCAATTCAGGGGCTGGTTCCTTTGAAGGACGCGGTCTACGAAGGCGTGTCCTTTGAAGGCTGCTTAGACCCGCAAAGGCTGAACTGAAATGAGACGGTCTGCCCTACGGCGGATTTTCTGTTTGCATCACAGCACCGCTGTTCCCGCCCTCACCGCTGAGCCACAAAACACCGCTCTTGTCAAGTTCTTTAAAGATGGAGCCAAAAACTTTTATTTTAATTGTTTATTTTTTCATTTATTAGGGCTGGAGATGCTTCACCACCGGCTACTGATGAGATTGTTCGTTTTTTTTAACATTTGTATCGTTAGCCATTCACCTCAGTTTAAACCCAATACTTATATTTATATTCTTGACTCTTCGCCGGCACATAATGAACCTCGGGATATGTTTCCTGGCGAAGGATGCACCTGTTAGATCCTTCGTTGCCATGGAAAAGAAGGACACATTTCTATGAAGGAGCCTTTGAAATGGGACAGCTTAGTCGAGCCACTGTGACGCAATCAGCCCATAAATTGGGACACACTGATGGAGTTATAGCCAGTAGGCGGAGCCTTATTTTAGCCACACCCCTGCATTTCGAGCAGGAAGTGAAGCAGCGTCCCTGTCCCTCATGGCCACATTGTGAACACTTGGATCCCATTGTTTTGAAGTAAATGTGTACCAAAGTCTGAGAATCAGTGTGGAACGTTAAGAATTGTCACCTCTGAAACACACATTTTCTGCAGTGAAATGAAAAATATGATGATTTTATGTGTGAACGGCTGTTCAAAGCTGTGTTTGCTGCATTTTTGAGCTCAAAATGAGCTAAAATTGTCACAGAAACAGTCACTGCTGAAACATTTGGTAAAGTTTGGGTAGAGTTATGATTATTTTAGAAGTGAGAAAATGGAATAATCAATCATTTGTTTTAATAAAAGAATGGGTTTTCAATTCTGACTTAAATGTAAATGTAATTATCATTATGAAAGCTTTATAAAATGGATGCGAATAATAAATACACGTTTATCCAGTATATTACTGTAGACCTTTTTTGTTGTTTCCAAAATCTTTTCAGGTCCTTCTTGTCTGTTATAATAACTGGGTGTCAGGCCTTTGACAGCAGCATAAAGCATGAAATGACATTTATTCTACTTTTACACAGAACAGCCCAGATTGCAGGAGGGGTCTCTCTGTATAATTGGATTTATGTCCAGTTATAGTTGTGTCCATATCCAGAGTGGTTACGGACTACGATAAAAGCTACTGACTTGCAATGACTGATAGATTAGACAATGTCAGAAAGTCCATACACTGTCAGTAAAACGTTCTGTACAGGTACATTTTTCATTTATCAAGGTACAAACAACGTAAATGTGCCCTCAAATGTATAACAGTGGTTTTAAGGTCCAGCTGTGAACTTTAAGTACTTTTTTCCAGGTGAAATTTACACATTTGTACCTTTTCATAACTGAATGTTTTAAAAGAGTACAGTACAATAAAAAGCTGGAGTCAAGACAGGGGGTATAAAGTTAATGCCATTTTTCAGTTTTTGATATAATTATGAAAGTACCTGTTGTCCTTTACATTGTGTGTAAATTTCATGATGAATGGACCAAAAGAAAAAAAAAATATTCAAGTCAAGTCAGGCTTTATTGTCATTTCAGCTCTACACAGTGAAACAAAACAACATTCCTCCAGGACCAACACAGGAACACAATTGTGAGACAATGCAATATACACAGTACAGACAATACAGTACAATAAATAAACACGAAAGACTTACAATAAATACAGAACAGAACACAGACAGCACACGGTACTGAGAGCATGTGGAGCTGTGCAAAGGAGGATGTAACATACTATGACATGTCAGCAGATGAGCAGATAGCCTAGCATATATGAGCATAGCAGTCACTGAGGTAGCAACCAGAGCAACAGTACACAGTATTTTGTTGATACAGTAATTCTAGCAGCTAACATTGTTAAAGTGAAGTACAAAATGTGCAAAAATGCAAGTATTCAGATTTACAGTCATATTAAATGAAGTGTTTCAGTGAAACACAGTAACTATATTTTTACAGTGCTCCATAACTGGAACTGCAAGAAGTGGAGAGTGAGTTAGTCTCATATTGTATATGTGTGTGTGGGTCTGGGTGTGTGTTACGTATATGTGTGTGTGGGTCTGGGTGGGTGTTACGTATATGTGTGTGTGGGTCTGGGTGGGCGTTACGTATATTTGTGTGTGGGTCCGGGTGGGCATTATGTATATGTGTGTGTGGGTCCGTGTGGGTGTTACGTATATGTGTATGTGGGTCCGGGTGGGTGTTACGTATATGTGTGTGTGGGTCCGGGTGGGTGTTACGTATATGTGTGTGTGGGTCCGTGTGGGCATTATGCATATGTGTGTGTGGGTCCGTGTGGGCGTTATGTATATGTGTGTGTGGATCTGGGTGGGCGTTACGTATATGTGTGTGTGGGTCCGTTTGGGCATTATGTATATGTGTGTGTGGGTCCATGGGAGTGGAGGAATCTGATGGATTGTGGACAAAAAGTCTGGTTCCTTTGACTTAAATTAAAAGTAAAGTGTTTTTTTTCCTTCTCCTGTAAAATAATTACTTAATGGGAGAATGTTATTAATGTTCATTTGTTCAATAATGTACAGTCCTGTTGAAATGAGGTGACGGTGTATTAAACAGCTGTGATTCAGTTCATCCAGTATAGATGTAAATACCCTCAAATTAAAGCTGCTATTCTGCACTTTAACCTAATAGTTGTTTTCATTTCCAATCTAGTGCTGGAGTACAGCACCAAAACAACACAGCACTGTCTATTACAATGTGTATATATTTAACACAGTACATGTTTTGACTGGTTGTGTGTTTGGTTTAACTGGTTAAATATCCAGAGTTGGGTCACACAAGTCTCAGCATTAAAGGATACTACAGTGAACTAATCTTAAAGGGGAACTCCACCAATTTTTCAAACTTGCTGTATAATTCAGTGGTTGAGATATAAACAAAGTCATTCAGAGTGCTTTGATGTGAAATGGTTAATTTGCAGAGAAACTTGCCCAACCAGATTTCTTTGCAGTGGTGGTGATAGGAACCTGGGGTCACGATGTTTACAACACAAATAAAGACATTTTATTTACTACCCAAAACAACCAGTGAACCTACACGTCTTATGTTTTTTACATAATGTTGACAATGGTAAAATAGTGGCCCTAGAAGACCCTTCATGTATCCCTCCACCATGAATGGTTTAAAATAAATGGATCAAAATACATTTTACACCAAAATCTTACCACAAAGCTACTTTAAGGCCACGTCTCAGGCATCAGGCAGTGAATTCATAACCATTTCATGTAATAACTTCCTGTGTGGAGCCTTTTAGCTTCAGATGTCTGGTTCCTATCACCACCACTGTGAACAATTTTGACTTGGCTAGTTTCTGTAGAACAGAGCGTTTCACACCAAACCACTCTGAATGACTCTGTTTACATCTCAACCATTCAATTATGTAGAAATTTTGAAAAATTGGTGGAGTTCCCCTTTAATCGGTCGATTACCACAATTTAAAATTCTATCACTCTGTTAGTTGATTACAACAGGCAATCATTTAGATGCACTTAATGTGTGTGATGTTTTCTTTTACAGTCGTGTAAGTTCTAGATATTAACCATGTAAGTATGTGGTACACACTTAAAATGACGGTTCTTCAAGGGTTCTTTAGCAAAGAAAATGGCTCTATATAGAATCATGAATGCACGAAGCACCCTTTGCATAATTAAAAAGTTCTTTGCGTTGTAAAAACGTTCTTCAGATTGAAGGAGAATGTGCTGTTGATGGTTCTATATAGAACCTTTTTGAAAAGGGTTCTTCTATTGTGTCAAACTTTACATTGTAACTACACTCTTAAAAAGATGGTTCTTCAGTGGTTCTTTAGTAAAGAAAATGCTTCTATAAAGAACCATGAACACTCAACGAACGCTTTGCATGGTTAAAGCGTTCTTAGCATTATGAAAGGGTTCTTTAGATGTTCTGTAGATGGTTCTTTTTTGAAAAGAGTTCTATATAGCACTCAAAAGTGTTCTTCAATTATAACAAGCATTACATTGTAACAATAGAAGAACCCTTTTGGGTGCTATATAGAAGGGGTCTCTAATATTTAACCACAAAGGGCCTGTGTGGCTGCAGGTTTTCATGCCCATTGAGCAGAAGCACACATGATTTCGCTTGTTTAATCAGTTGGTCTCAGTCAAGGTGCGAAATACAGGGGGTCCCTGGGGGGTACTGGGACCCCTAATTAAACTCTTGGACCCTCTGAATATCTCAAAATCAAAGTTCTGGGGGGTCCCCTGATAATGAACTTATTATAATGTTATGCTGACCATTAGTAAATAATAGATTCTCAAACAGGGAATGGTCTTAATTTCTCCCACTAGACAGTGAGCTTCTGTCTTTGGTACTCTTATTAGTGATGCAGCACTAGTCTCCTTCAGGGTGGCGCTGTAGTAAATCGGTTCACCCAGTTGGTCCTTCAAAGCCTAGCAACTGTAACTATGCCTAAGATACCTCTCAAAAACTTTCCAACATGCCGCAGCACATTTGTGAATCTGAAAACTCACCCAGTTTCTCAAGAGTTTGGTAGAGAGAATTATGAATTTCTCAAAATGAAGACAAAAAAGGAGACGCATAAGATCTCAGTTAATGTGAGGAAGAGCACATTACCAAACTAGAACTAGCATTTCCGAAAGAAGACTTGTTAAACCAAACATCTTGTTGCCATTAAAGCACCACTTTAGCACCACTATGGTGAGTGAGTTAGCAGCCAGGTAACACTGGAGTAGCCAGCCAACATGGGACCCCCCCCAATACCAGGGGGTGTTTTGCACACTGGTCTCAGTCTACAAACAAATAGTTATTTATATGAGATGTGCTCCTGATTGGTTGGAATGAAAACCTGTAGCCACACCGGCCCTTTGTGGATATGACTGGTGAATGCATCTGATCCAGCCAATCAAGAACTTCTGAAGAAACTAATTAGTTGGAGCAGGTGTGGCAGAACTAGATTCAGCAGGAAAGTAGATCACCAGGAACAGTGTTGGTGACCACTATGGTACACTGTTAGAAATAAAGGTAGCAGGTACATTTTTTGTTCATCAAGGTAAGAACAGTGCAAATGTTCCCACAAAGGTACAACAGTGGTTTTAAGGTCTGATTGTTAACCTTAAATACGTTTTTCCAGTGGAAAAATGCATATTTTTACTTTTTCATAATCTAATGTTTTAAAACAGAACAGTAAAATAAAAGTCCTGGAGACGAGACGGGGTGTGTGGAGTCAGTACAGCTTAGAAAATATCATTTCAGTGGATTATGGTTCAGTTATGTTGCCCTGACTAAAGGTACTGAGATGAACCCTTGAGGGCTCCACCCCAGTGACTAGAGCGGCACTGCCACAGTGACAGTTTAGTACCTTTTTTTCTGAAGGGGGAAGGCCCTACTGTTCTGTTTTAGAACCGCAATTTGGGATCCCTAATCTTCTGGGCTGTTTTTACTTTATTTGTGTTTTCTAAAAAAAAAAGATTGGCTGACCATTTTCTCTGGACAGTCTGACTAACAGCTAATTTTTACCATTTTACGAGTAACATTGACCAAAGAACATTTTGGGACTTTGAGCTTCCTGTCTGCTTCGCATGCTTCCAGTTTTAACAATAACTCAAAGTGATGGGCATATTTCTCTCAGCGCATCAGAGAATGTTTCCTTTTCAAAACCCATGAAAACCCGTGGCATTCTAAGTTTAAATGGGATAACAGCAGACACCGCTGGGGTGTTTTTAGTTTACCGCAGCAGTTAAACCCAATTTTAAACCTAGCTGTTCCTACACTCCCAGATTAACCCTACCGCTGATCTAGCGACCGCAAGAAGGGCGTGTTTTCACCCAATATTCCTGTTCCTAGTTTGTGCTTTTTGGATGAGCGCCTCAAGATTGTGGCTTCCACCTCTGCTGGTGCTCGTGTTTTTCTGCTAAGGTTGGGAACCCTTGACTGTTCTGAGATAGAAACAGCTCTAGCCTCCACCTCCTCTCACCCCCAGCCTTTTAACTGGACCGCAAACTCCTCACATGATGGCAGGGCCTTAGGCTGCCTGTGGTTGTGGCTGGCGGTCGCTTGATTAAACTCCACCCAAGGGCTTCTGTTTGACTGGACTCCCCACCTAACCAATATCTTTTTAAGGTTGAGGGGACAAGCTCAACACGCTTACCGAGGGATACTCCCTACCTTTCCCCCAACTATTTAGACTGTTTACATGCCCTCGGTCGGAATAAGAAACGTTCTCTGTAGACCTCTTTGGTTTAAACCAACACAAACAAATGTTGTCATGTTTATGGCTTCAGTTTGGTTCGTCCAACAGCTCCTCACTTTGCTTTTCAAAGGCAAGTCTAAAAATTGTTCAAAAATGTTGGTCTATGCCTGCTGCAAGAACAAACAAGTGGCCTGAGGTGTTCTTTGATCTGATCTATGATCTAGATTTCACACAAAAAGTTGTAAAATTTGAACATTTTGCAGTTTCTCTATATTATTTTATCTGAACAAAATGATCTCATTATCTGTAGATGCCAAACAAGACACAGCCAACCAATGTTCTGTAAGACACAGTTTATTTTACTCATTATGGTTTACAATGCACAGTTATTTTTTATGCATAAACATTTAGAAAAGTGTTTTGTATGTCTGGTTTATTTCATTATGATCAATTTGACCATTTCACAATATTCAAGTCAGATGCAAGGATGTCTGGAACAACATTCTCCTTTTTTGTGTAATTATTAAGGAAATAAAGTCACCAATAACAAGGTAAAAAAAAAAGACAAAAAAATTAATATCACCCTCTGCAATCAGAAAAAAAAACAAAAAAAAACCAAAAATGACATTGTCAGGACATGAAATGAACATTAAACTTCACATGCCTTCTTCACCCCCAAAAGAAAATAAAGATAATTGTTCTTGACTTTTAACTGCCTTTCTTTTCCCTGGTAACCTGTTACATAAATTAGGTTCTTCTTATTAGCACCTACTGCTCGGTATTTTCAAGTTGAGATGCTTCTGTTTCTCAGAACCAAAGAACAACCTGCCCAGATGAACAGGACGTTCTTCATGTTTGAGAAACAGTGAGAGGGATTAGGAGTTGAGGGATGGTTTTATCACCGTATCACGTAGAGGCAATCAGGAAGCCACTGAAGGAGCAGTGGACGTTGTCAGCGGCAAAGACGCCGTTGGCCTCATCATCGGGGATCTGAATATAGACGGTGTCCTGCTCGTTAAGCTGAAGGACAGCACTACCAGACATCTGGTCCAGGAAGCCCTTGTTGTACTCATCATAGGTGAACATGACTGGGTCACTGTTCTTGTACAGTGCCACCAAAGCATTAGCACCGTTCACGTGCATGCTGTAGGAGAAGTAATAGATTCCTGGAACCTGGCAGGTAAAGAGACCTGTCTCAGGATCATAGTGATGCTCTGCGTTGTAAACGATCTGATCAAACTTAATGGGGCTACCAGATGGAGGATAAGGTGTCACGGTTGCAACAGTAAATGCAGACATTGGGGTCTTGACAAAAGGCACCACGATTTCAGCTGGTCCTGCGGCCTTCTCAAAGACCACCTCGCCAGGAGGACCAGGTGGGCCAGGAGGACCAGGTGGTCCGGATGCACCAGGAGCTCCATCAGCTCCAGGAAGTCCAGGTGGACCGTGAGGTCCAGGAATTCCTTTAGCAGTGACACCTGCAGGGCCAGGTGGCCCAGGAAGGCCATGGGTGGCCTTTAGCACCTGGTGGACCGGCAGGACCAGTAGCACCAACAGGTCCTCGAGCCCCAGGGGCACCTGCAGGCCCTGTCTCACCAGCAGGTCCAGTATATCCCGTATGTCCCTTGGGGCCAACAGGTCCAGGTGTACCTGGAGCACCAGTGGCACCAGTGGCACCAGTATCTCCTTTGCTACCTGTGGCACCTGTAGCTCCCCTTGGACCCTGTGGGCCTGTTGCACCTGGGTAACCTTGTTTTCCCTCAACACCTTGTGCCCCCTGATCTCCCTTTTGTCCCCTGCTGCCCTGAGGCCCCACTGGACCGGTTTCGCCCTTCTCACCTGTGGCTCCCCTTTCACCTGGAAAACCTCTTGCACCCTGAGGACCAGCTGGACCCGTGGGACCAGTTGCACCTGTGTATCCAGTGGGTCCCATAGCACCTGGCTCACCTTTCTGACCTGTTGTACCGGGGCTACCTACTACACCTCTTTCACCTTTCTGACCATTTGCACCTGGTTTGCCATAACCTGGAACGCCAGGAGCACCAGGTGCTCCACTTGCTCCCTGAGGACCTTTGGGGCCAGTAGGACCAGGCAGACCTGGAGCACCATTTTCACCTGGTTTACCTGGAATTCCAACTCCAGGAGCTCCAGTATTGCCTTTTGGTCCGGTTGGTCCCACAGCACCCGGTGCACCATCATGACCAGGTGCACCTGTCTTACCTGCCTCACCTGGATATCCAGGTGCACCAGGTTTACCAATGCCAGGCTTTCCAGGTGCCCCTACAGGTCCCACAGGTCCAGTTGGACCCCTCTCACCTTGTGGCCCCTGAACTCCAATACCTCTCTCTCCTTTCTGTCCTTGCAGACCAGGTGCACCTGGATATCCCTTATGACCTGGTTCTCCTCTTGGTCCCACTGATCCAGGCAGCCCAGCAGGTCCAGGTTTGCCAGCAGCAGAAATACCAGCAGGCCCAGGGCTGCCAGTTGGTCCAGGTGCGCCCCTTGCTCCCTGAGGACCGGGTGCGCCAGGCTCTCCCTTGGGTCCATGTGCACCTGGTATACCTGGTTTGCCAGGTCCACCTGGAGTACCAGGCTTTCCAGGGGCAGAGTAGCCAGCAGGTCCAGGGGGTCCGGGTGGGCCCTGAGGTCCGGGGTATCCCTCACCATTCTCTCCTGCGGGTCCGGGTGGTCCAGGTGGTCCAACAGGGCCGGGCTCACCTGGGGCACCTGGCTCTCCTGCTACTGAAACCACTAGGAGAAAACAAAAGATGGCAGATTCATTAGTCAGCTGTCAGTGGCATCTGTGTGTTCTTGTTTGAGATGCTCAGGCAAGTCTTCACTCTCTTCCGAACACAGAACATTGTTGAATTCCTACACTCACATTTCTTTATTTGTCATTTCAACCATATGCAGTCATACAAACAGTGTGTTTTTCATGACGGGACACAGTTTGCAAGACTATATTTCTTTACCAGATACATTGTCTTATTATCTGCATTATCCAAAATATATCCTTATATCATATTCTTATATTCCTTCTGATGATCTACATCAGGGCTGCCCGAAGTTGGCACATAAGGACGTTTGATTTGGCCTACCAGAAAGTTACCCTATCCCTACCCCCTCACCCAGTATGTGAACAGACATATTCTTCTACTAGATATAATCTGTACGTTCTTATTTTCATTATATTACATTTGTATTTGTCTATTACCTATTAAATTTACCTATTAAATAAATATTTTACCTATTAAATACCTATTTGAAACCTTCTTTATTTGTTTACTTTTTTTGTCTTTTTGTCTTTGGGATCACCTTAAACATTACATCTTGGCCCCCCAAGACAAAAGGTTTGTGCACCCCTGATCTACATTGTATGTGATATATTACCTATATTATTCTCAAAGTACTATTAAAGTCTCAGAACTGTAAATAGTAACCAGCGTTGCGAAACATCTCAAAACATACAGTAATTACTCTGAAAATATGTGGATGTTCCGCTGAATCAGAAAGCTGTACTGACTTAGAGATGAATTTGGCAGGCATCACTTGTTTGAACTTCTATGGACTGTTTTCATTCAGATTAAGAGACTGTTTACAGTTTCCTCCAACAAGTGATGTTCGGCCAAATGGCCACTTTGCCTTTCTGAGAAGATCACTAGACTAAGGCCTTGGTGACTAGAAAGCAGGCCAGGTAGTGGATTAAACTGATTCTACATTAATTCAGTATGTATTTTTACACGTTTTGTCTTGATTTGTAACCGTGATGAGTAATGCTGTGTTTTGGACAATGATGTATGACCTGATCCCTCCATGTAGGAGCACCTTGCTTAAACCCCACTGCTTTCAGATATGCTGCTTTAAGTTCATTTTCAACCTCACTCCCAGTAAAAACACTGACATTCAGAGATGCACTGTGTCACTTGGATTCAGGTTCAAGTCCCAACTGTGGCCAGATGTATCTGAGGATGCATTAGGCCTTAGTGCCGTTGTGAGGGGTTAAAAGGTAGGGTTCCTCTCTCCACTGTTGCTATGCAACCTCTCAGCCAATGCATTAACACTGATGCTAAGCAAAGTCAAGTGCACACTGAGGTGCTCAACAGCACTGCATGGCTGCTACAAAATTATATGGTGGCAAACTTCATATGGAGGAGGCATGTGTTCGCTTTTGCACTGCTGCATAGAAGGAACTGCTGTTTGATCACTACACTGTGCAAAAAAATGAAGCCAAACCAGCTTTTTGTAGGAAAACTCTTTTGCTAATGATGATATTTTTTATTTAAATGTATTTCCTAGAACTGCTAATGTAACCTCAAGCTAATATGAGCAAACTAACTGAAGTAAAATAGGTTTCTATAAGAAAAGAGTTTTGATCATGAAGATATTTTTAGTTTAATTTAATTTCCTAGCAATGCTTATTTACCTGGAAGCTAATATGTGCAAGCTAACTGAAGTAAAACAGGTTTCTATAAGAAAACAGTTTTGATCATGAAGATATTTTTAGTTTAAGTTGATTTCCTAGCACTGCTTATTTACTTGGAAGCTTATATGAGAAAACTAACTGAAGTAAAACAGACTTTATGTAAGAAAACAGTTTTGCTCATGATGCTATTTTCAGCTGTAGTTGATTTCCTAGCACTGCTCATTTAATTGCAAGCTAATATGAGCAAGCAAACTGAAAGCAAACAAGAAGCTTAGCTTTGCCCCCTTTAAAAGCCTTTCAAGTGAAACATATGTAAGAAAAAGACATGAAAAGTTACACATCAGTGCAGTCATGCTGGTTAATACACCACCTTTAAACTTACCAGTAGCACTTTGCAGTATTTTTTCTTACATATTGCAATAACTCTTTCTTGTATATTTCACCAACTCTTGAATATTACATGTTCTTGAAAAAGTCAAACATATTAAACTGCATTTATGGCACTGGAGGATGAAATTGAGGGCCTTTGTTTTATGGGTGTCTTGATGTGGTCACTTTCACTGGTGTGTAAACTACATCAGACCCTGGGTCATTCTGACTCAAACAGCTGTGTCTGCTTTTCACTGCGACACACCCGAACAAATCACTTTTCAACATGTTTTAAAGGCTGTTTAAGGCCTCTTTTAAAATGTTAGATGTTGTCCTTGATGCAGTTCCAGTTTTTATATTGCACAGACTCTCAAATATAGTATATCTAATACAGTACATGGTGAACTTGCATCTATTTTTCAAAATCTGACTTGCAAATATATATATATATATTTTTTTTCATTTAATTAAGAATCTTGCAGTGTTACAGTGTTATGGTGCCCCAAATAATGTAAAAAGTCATATATCCTGTGAATTATATCATGTTACCATGCCACTAGAGGCCAAAGATTATCCTTTTGAATGAAATATATTGGTATATATTGTCGTATTCTAAAATATAACTAAAATGTGGTCATAAAGTCAGTCACTGAGAATTGAAAAGGCCAGAAAGTACTAAAAAAGTTTAGTTTTCTTCACTTTGAGATGAGATTCTGCTTCAGCAACACTGCAGAGCAGAATTTGTTTCAATGTGTTTTGAGGCTTGAATTGATGTCAAATATTACTTTTTCTAAAATTATGAGTTCAATAAAACCAGTTAAATGGTTTAAGGAACATTTTTCAAACACAATAAACTGTATTTATGACACCGGAAGATGAAATTGAGGGCCCTTGTTTTAGTCCAGTGTTAGAGCAGGAAAATAGAGTAAATCGAGTGGATTTGAAGAGTGCAGAGCTAATGCATGAATCTAGTTCAGTCTTTATAGCATTCTGTGGTTCTGATAAGATAATATGAGCTTTACTGAATCAGTTAAATACAAAAGAATAGTAAAATAGCTTAGCCTGAACTGAGATTTCCAATAATTCAAATATAAAGTGAATCTCTGCTACTTGTGCTGTAGTGGTGCTATAGCAAGACATATTCAAATGCAAAGGCAGGAAAGCTAGAGTCATTGGTTGAATCAGTGCATTGCAGCAGCCAATCAGCTCAAACTGCATCATATTCTGTACTTTGCTTTCATTCTAAATGACTGTACCTCTCAGATATATTGTAAATGCATCAGCTCTTGTGATTTTTTCTTTGCTGTTTAATATGTTTTCAGAGTAAATATATGACTTAAAGATCTCTGTCATTTGTAGATTGAGGCACTCACCATGGCCCTTTACGGAGTACGGCTGGTACTGAGGAGTTTTCATCACCTTCTTCACAACATATCTCTCGCCGTGGGCAGCTACCAGGGCCACCAGGAGGAAAAGTATGCTCGCTACTCGTAGGTCCATTTTCTGAGGTTAAATCTGTGGAAGCAATTAAGTTTGGTTAGATAAGATCAGAGATAACAGTTGAGTTCTTCTAACAAAGTTAGGCAGCTTGAAATTCAGTTTTGAATAGTTTGTCAGAGCAGAGAGCATAAAAAAATGAAAGAAAACGTCTGAGAATCGTTTAAAAAGACCCAAACAATCAGACTGATTAGTCTGACAGAGGAAACTGAAAAAGAAATTCTCCTCAAAATCAACTATTTTCAAATAAATATACATGAACAGCACACAATGCTACACCTGCCATCGCCTGCTGTCTCTCAAAGTCTGGGCCTAATTAGGCCTGGTGGAAGACCAGAGAGAGAGAAACACAGAGAAACAGAGAGAGAGAGAGAGAGAGAGAGTGAGAGAGAGTGAGAGACATTCAGGACACATACCGGCATGCTTGGGTTCCAAATAAATAAGAAAGTCAGCACCAGCGGCTCCCACGGCTGTATATCCTGATGGTAGGAGCACGTTAGAGCATCTGCTGCTGTCTAGTACAATGATGAGGGTATTTATACCATATCTGGGCCTTGCATCATTAAAAAAGCACCTACCACACAAGTACCTCCCTCCGCTTAGCTCCACTGTAATTAGGAGGCTGATCTGCCCAATCTTGGCATGTCGCTTCACGATGCCTGTTTGCTTTTGAGCTCAGAGACCCATGATTAGATTTCGTTAAGTTTTCCTCACAACTAAAATAGTGTTTTAGTGATGAATTTGGTAGGAAATATTATCTTAAACATCACACTTGGCTGTGTGTGGACAGTATATGTACATGTGCATAAATAGTACATTATGTAGACAGCGTATCTTTTATATGTGTGTTTGCATACAGTGTATTGCATATCTTTATGTGTTTTAAATATTTAAAGATCACATTTTTCAGTGGGTAGATATATGAAATAAGGAATGTACACTGTATATGTATGCACACAGAAAGTATAAAATATGTATGTGTGAATATGTATATGTCTATGTATCATTTGTTTAAGACATTTCTTTGTCTATATGCTTTTTATGCCTGTTTGTTTGCAAAAAATGCATGTTTAGCTTGCACTTAGTGGCTGAATATGTTTATTTCCAGTCTTTAACTCTTTTCTATATACGCCTAATAGTTAGTAGTGATAACATTTAGTAGTTGGATGCATGTTTAAATTATTATTATTAGTTTTCAGTCTTCTTATGTAAATATATCCACCCTGAATGTATGGAATTCAGCAGCTTCTGTTGAACAGGTATGACGGGACGAGACGGATCCCTGACAGAAATGGTATTGACAGCCGTGCACGAGCCCACATTTCCAATTTCATCCTCCTCTGGCCGTCTGATAAACAAACTTTCCACCTTTCTCCACCGTCTGGTCCACTTCAATTCCTCCCACAGAAAGGTAAATAAAAACACCGGGGAGTGGGGGGGTGTGGAGGGATCGAGCTGGCCGCCTTTTCCTCTCGCTTTACATCAGAACAATCACGACTGAGTCTAATAAACTCATTGACCATCAGCAAACACAGTTATCCTTCTTTCCTGACCGGGACATACAGAAGCCTTTTGCACTCATGCTTGCTCAGCTCAGCTGTGTGGAGGATAGTGAGGCTTTCATTAAACCGACTATTTCAGGCCTGGTAGTTTATAGTTCTTTGCTTGTGTATTTTTGTACGTACTTCACCCTAGAAACAGCTAATAAAGATATAAACAGATGCTCTGGAAAACACATCTGACTTTGGCTTGATTTGCCCACTTCACTGAATGCAGAGTGAGGGGGCCGCGATGAGGGTTTACCACAGACGACCACCAGGGGGTGTAAATCCCTTTACTGCACGTTAAAAGGGAGAAGAAGGTTTTACAGCCTCTCACAGCTGAAACCTTTTCATCATTCTTCATTCGCTAAACCAGCAATATTTTCATTCCTTTTTTCTATATCAGTCATATTTTTTTTATTTATTTACTAAATGGGCAATATTTTCAGTTTTATTACCTAAAGGTGTAATAGTTGTACTCTTTGTTGCCTCAGTTAGAAATATTTTCAGTCTTTACTCCCTACATTTACAGTATTTTCATTCTTTAGTCCCTATATCAGCAATATTTTTATTCTGTATTCCTTAAATCAATAATATTTTTCTTTTTTACTTCATAATCAGCATTTTTTCATTTGTTATTTCCTAAATCTGTAATATTTTTTATCCTTTATTTCTTAAATAAGTAATATTTTCATCCCCTTTTTTGAATAAATGAGTAATATTTTCATTCTTTAGTCCCTACATTGGCTATTTTTTCCATTTTATTCTCTAAATCAGCAATATTTTTATATCCTTTTCCCCTAAATCAGTACTATTTTCATTTCTTATTACCCAAATCAACAACATTTTCACTTTATATGATCTAAATTTGTGATATTGTCATTTTCATTCCTTAAATCAGTAATGTTTTCATTTGGTTCTTCATAATCAGCAATGTTTTCATTATTTATTCCTTAAACTAGTCATTTTTTTTGCATAAATGTGTAATATTTTCATTCTTTGTCCCCTAAATCAGCCACTTTTTAAATTATTTTTTCATTAAATCAGCAATATTTTCATTCTTCATTCCTTGAATCAGATATACTTTTATTCTGTATTCCCTACATTAGCTATTTTTTGTCCATTTTTATTCCCTAAATCAGCACTATTTCCATCCTTTTTTGTCCCATATCAGTAACATTTTCATTCTTTCATCATTAATTCTGCAGTATCTTCATTTTTTGCCCAAACTGGTAGTTTTTCCGTTCTTTATTTCACTTTATTCATCAGTGACATGTTCATTTTATATGATCTAAGTTGGTGATATTGTCATTTTTATTCCTTCTATCAGTAATATTTAGAGTGCCAACTACTGCACTACAAACCACTTGCTTGTGCTTTTTCTGTTAATGATTATTTTGACTACACTGGACAAGCACATTAATAACATCCCCTAAAACACCCAGATTATCTTGAACTTTGATCAGAAGTGTGCAAATCGCTTGACACATAATGGCAGATCTAATTAATCTGCGCTCCTCTACCTGTGAGCCTCTTTGTGTGCAGAGAAAGCTGTGTGGAAGTTCCCTGTGCCTCGGATGATGGAGAAGTTCTAGGCTGTTATTAAGCAACATGAAACCTGTTTCAGCAACCATGCTTTTCACAATTTGACTCAATTAAGTGCAATTTTCCAAAGTGCTGTCTCAACATACTCTGTAGTTATGAAATATAAATATACTTGGCGAGTATTGTTTGAGCACACTGTGCTTGTGAAACACAAGCTTCTTTCAGCCCCCTTGATTTTATTTTGCGCAGCGCCGCTGCTCTCGTTAATGTGAGACAGTGTTTTACAGTCTTAAATTAACAAGCGAGACAGAAACTTGCAATCAGAACGGTGTAAAAGATGGCTGTCTGCTGCACGTGTGTAATTACACTCACTTTCTTGGCCTGGTTTATGCCAGTATGTGACTTTTTCACTCTTTTTATATGTATGATTCATCTCAGCCGACTAGCTTTGAGACTTTCCTCTGACGGAAATCTGTTCAAAGTGACGTTCCGGTGTCATCCATGCATGCCTGTCCGCTGCTACGCTTTCCTCTTGAACTGTGTTTGTGTTTACAGCCCACAAGGGAGGATTGAGACTGGAAATGCTACTAACATTCAGCTTAATGACAGAGCAGGAATGGGTGGAGACTGTCCTTTTTTTAATGTTTGCCGTTCGTTTCTGTCTTCAGCTTTTTAAAAAGCTGTGAAAAACAAACAGCACTAAAACAGGTCACTCTGGGTCTGACGTTATCTCTGCACAGTGATGCCTGCGTGTCTTTTGTCTGCTGTATCTACAGTGTGTACTTGCGAGTGCTTTTTACTGTTTGTGGAAGTTGCCTTTGTAAAATAAAAGCCTGTGATGACAGTTGCTGTGTTTAGCTATATTAGGGGTAAAATAAGTTGAGGATATTCTGGGCTCTTTTGATTTTGGCCTACTTTTGGGGTTCACGTAAGCGAGACGCGTGGTTGGCCCTGCCTAATGTGGATCTGCTGAAGTCATTACTGCACTGGAGCTCCTTGTTGTGGCTGCTCTTCTCCTTTATAATAACCATTAGAGGTCAGGGTAATGGCCAATATTAAAAATGACCCAGATGTGATCCTGTTTTAGTGGCTACTGTATGTTTGTCACAATCAGGACCATAACACTGCTATAATATGGAGTTAAATTAGTCATCTAAACTTAAACCTGAATTTATGATGCTTAAAATATCTTTTTTAGATATTTGAATATACTGAGACTGAATTCACCTCTTTGAAGTGCTGGTTAAAAAAATGCAGACCTTAAATAATTTTGGCTAAGAAATGCAGGTCTTAAAAAAAATTGGTTTAAAAAAATGCAGGTCTTAAGAAATCTGATCTAAAAAATCTGATCTAAAAAATGCAGGTGTTACAAAGTTTTGTTAAAAAATGCATGTCTTAAAAAATCAGGTTTAAAAAATGCAGGTGTTAAAAATGTTGGTTAAAAAATGCAGGTCTTAAAAATTCAGGTTCAAAAAATGCAGATCTTAAAAAAAATGTTTAAAAAATGCAGATCTTAAAAAATCAGATCTAAAAAATGCAGGTGTTACAAATTTTTTGTTAAAAAATGTATGTCTTAAAAAATTCAGGTTTAAAAAATGCAGGTCTTAAAAAAAATCAGGTTTAAAACAATCATGTTTAAACAATCAGGTCATAAAATTTTTAGATAGAAAAATTAATGTGGTAAAATGAATCTCAGTCCTGGCCAATCACAAGGCAGCTCACAGGTCATTGGGTCATTGTTTATATATCTATGCAAAGCCCCTCCTAATGACCCCTGAGGTGCTACATTTTGTACAGTTTAATTTTTTTGAACCTGATTTCTTTATATCTGATTTTTTAACCTCAATTTCTTAAGATCTAAATTTTATAAACCTGATTTTTTTAGGATATGATTTTTTAACCTAAATTAGACGCAGTGTATTCAAATATCTCAAATCTGGAGTGAAAGTTCTCAAAAATATCAAATTACACATATATATTTTTAGTCTTTTTTAGTCTTTTATAGTCTAGTTTTACTGCAGCTGCACCACTGATGTGGCCTCCATCACTGCAGCACTGCATCTTTGACCTCAGCGAATGCGTTACCAAAACGTGGGGCCTGTGTGTGATTCTAGCAATGCTTGGGAAACCAGATGGGCCGTACTAATTCAGGGCTTTTTCAGCAGAGGTGGTTCTGGTTTTGCTTCCTGGTTAGCAGCAATCTCCCACACCCAAGACGGAGAACAAGTAGTAATTGCCGGTTGATGCAAGACGCGCAGCAGAATGCGCGTTAGTGCTAAAGATAACACATCTAGATTGGGATACAAATTTAAGCTTTCAATAAACTCACTGCACCACTAAGAGCTGGGTTGAGTTTTATGAATGGAAGGGTGGACGAGGACTTCTCAGAGTGATTGTTGGGAAATTACAGGGTCACGCACACAAGCATCTAGAAATGTATCCGGAAGTGAAGGCCGACTCAGG